TTATTTTAATTACACAAGAGGTTAGCAAAGGGTTTATTACTTTTACTCAATACACGTTTATGAAGTACGGAGTATTGAATTTAGATCAATATTTCCTTACAATATTTGGATCTCTCAATAGTTAAAGGCTGGGTGAAAAATGTGAATTCGTGTACATTAATCTAAGCAAACCTAGCCAAGTTCATCGCCTACACGTCTGTCTCGATCTGCCCTATGTTATATGTATATATATGATTTGGCGTTGGTATCACACTAGGACATAACAGTAGTTTAATCCTACGTAAATGATAAGATTTACACACCTGTTACCCATTGTTGTATATTAGCTCAAAGTATATCAGTAGTCGACATAATAACATCTTAAAACCTTAGAGGGACAGCAATGATAAACTGACATTCTCTTGGGATCTCAGTACCGAAGAGTTTATATTTTGCGAAGGCCAACTCTGTCTTGTCTTTAATTCATCTCGTTGAGTTGATGTTTCACCATGTTCTATGTCACTAATTCTATATGACTTACTCAAGACTCATTTAAAGCAACAGTATGCCTATTTCTTGATCATTATAGACGGCTTTCAGGAAGTTTTCACGCTCAAAAACCGATGATAAAACCTTCATTTGTGTAGCTTGGGAACGAACGATTTAGATTCAGCTTGTGTACGTCTGAGCAGCGCTATTCTCATAACGATATGCATCACGTTTTTATACACCCTAAATAAATCGTAGATATATGATTTCGGAAAGCGTTATTCTAACTAGCATTTACACTTATCGCATTACTTTTGAAAAGTGCCAGCTATTTTTGACAATTATTCGAAGTGACTCAGCTTACAATAATTCAATTGACTTCTTAAATGACACCTTAGAATCAAGATGGTAGTTATTACACAAAAAGTTTATAAAAGGCCGATCACGATACGATTTGTGACTACGAAACTTGAAAAAAAGTGTTATGTTCAAGGGAGAAACTTACATATCTTGATAAAAACTAATCTGCCTAAAGTGAAAATTTGGAAAATAAATAACCAATTGACACACAAAAATATTAGTTCTTATTAGAATAGCTCACAAAACAATAGGGAATAAAAAGACAGTTACCGAAAGCAAGTAACATGCCGGGGTGCGAAGTCCCATTTCTAAACCTACACTTACGAACTACTCATAAATTATAAGTAGGTAAACTATTACTATTTATTTATGTGTACTCAAATTCAATGATATCTGAAAGCAAAAGACAGATGACTTTTGCTCCCCAGGTAAATTATCTAGATGAAATAAAAAGAGGGTTAGGCAGTCTACCATGGAAATCCAGTCCTCTTATGATGACAAAGTACTGTTTACATTCACAAGTCTCCAGCACTCAGAAAGTCCAGAATTCAAGTCTTAAATTTACGATACATTGGAGAGTGAAATATAATACCGAGATCTATAAAGATCATATCGATTGTAATACTTATATCGTGAACTACAACCAATATGAGTGACTAGCTTTATACTATGTTGTCTTCGAGCTATTAGATTATTCCCTTAATATGATGAAGAATAGCAGCGCAAACCCTCATATCCAATAGCTAAGAGATAATACTGACCAGGTTAGCAGGGTAATTATTTCACAAACGTTGTGAACCAAACTGATAACAACATCAATCCAACCAAACTGAGTCGTGTGATTCATTTAGTTAGTAAATCTATCCTCAAATAAAGGAGTGAATAGTTCTGATGTTGTACCCATAACTACATATGGTGACAATGTAAAATTATGATCCTACAATATTTGGAAATCAAAATGGTGACAATGCGAACATATTTAATTATAATAAACTATTATTATAATAAACATCCAATGTTCAGTTTATTTGGGATTATCAAGTTAAGCCTTGGTAATGACATTTGCAATTCAAAACTAGAATGAAAGCCTTCCAAATCGATGAGTAGAGTGATTTAATATCTATTGGGAGGCAAAACCACTAGCTGAGTCAAAGTCATATAAGTTGGAAAAGTGACTAGACTGAGGTAAAAATACCAAATATTCACTGACTTGAGACAAAACGACTGTTCCTGACGTATAAAATACATTGTGTTTTAGCACGGACTTTTACAGACTAGACTGTATATAATATACAACTAATTATCATGGCAAAATCCCAATGCATATCTCTGAAAAGAACCATTTTCAGATATTGAGGTAGTTAACTACAATACACATTTTCAAGAGTATGGAGCTATATTCTTCACTTTAACTCACAAACCAGACACAGACTAGTGTTCTTCGAGCCATATTGTATAGAGGTCCAGTGCAACTCTATAACATTAAACGCTGATAATCCGAAAGATGTTGAAAGCTCAAGAAGTTATGAAAAAAACTAAGGTAGTCTACAGTCCGGAATACAAAGATATATATTCTTTCCTGAGGAAAATTGTTATTGTATTTTCATATGGCGGAACTTGCTTGGACTTAAAATAGTAAAGAACAAACACTTCATTATCAAAAATTAGAACTTAAACACGTAACTACACACAGTACGTGACGGGAAGTTGAATGATAAAAACAGTTATTCATTATATCGTTGGTAGACATGAGTAATCGGGTAGTAACTCATAGATTTACGAATTGTCTGTAAAATCACTTAATACATAAAACGTTGATACATATAACAGCGAGAGCGCAATGCTTTGAGTAGTGAAAAGAAATTCCCATACATTGATCGGTACTCTGGGCTTTAACAATTTCCTCGGCAATAAGCAGCTTAGTTTGTATAGGACAACAAATAAAATTTATGGTGTTAAATTGTACGCTCACTATCAACGTAAGAACAGTTAAAACATAAATGAGATTTAATTGCAACTATTGTATATTCGTATTTCATTCTAACTAACAGTGAGTACAGAAATGAAGTATGGCTGTTATTTATAAAATATATTTATAAGATAGATTTCACTGTACATAATACGCTTATGTTGTGCGCAAGAAAGTGTTAACATCCGTACACATTAATGTAACATGTTTTACAATAAGTTGTATTATTTAGGTTGCTGAAACTGTTATTTTGGTTAAAACTAAACCAAAACATGCTAACCAGTAATACTTTCAAGTTCGCTCGAGTCTATATTTTGGTATGTAGACAACAACCGTGACCTCATGGCACAAAACTGATAGCAGGAGTAAGATAAACATCGCGTAGTTCGGATAAAGTACATTCACAGATGGACATAATAATAAAACTAGAAAGTCGACCTGTAGATCTAGGTATTCTCAAACCGTAGTTAAAGTAGATAAGAGGGATATAATAGCAATTATTAAAAACACCAAAAATTTACTGAATAAAGCATAGTAATGTTATGTTACAATATCCGCGCAGTTTTAGTGAGAAAACTGAATCTTCATTGCCCCATTTACAACTACAGCTAAAAAAATTTGAAATGACTGAGCACACACACATGTTTTGCCCCTAAATGCCTTGGTACGGCCGAGAGTGCAGAGAGTCAACTCCCCATCTCCGGATGCTCTCACATGGCCACGTGCATACGATCACTAACAGGGAAGTTCCTTCCACTATCTTATCGCAACACGGGTGTTCTTTACGAAATTGAGAGGGCGAAAAGCGAATGTCCAGGGTTATAACCGGGTTGGTGGACAGGGAAGATCCACCTGGGGGAGTTAGAGACCCTGACTGCAAAAAATGGTGCACACCAGCCCCAGCATCCTAAGGAAAAACATGGTGTATGAACCAATCGTTTGTCACCGGCTATCATGGGATTGCATCTCCTAACACTGTCTCATTGCTTTGTGGATTAGATCTTATGGTGAAAATTTGGGGTGTGACCCCCTGAAGAAACAACCTGCTTCGGTTTGGGCACCCGGGCAGTATCCTAGCTCTCACACGAATTGCATGACTTATATGGCGCATATCTATTTGGTGCTTTCTTGTAACCATGTTGTGTTTGAATAACAATAATAACTACGATGCTCCCCACCGCCTAAATATTATGCGCCATTGACAATGTTCCCCCCGAGCACATTTCACGCAGTTTTCCCATACTTCGCACTGAGTTTACTAGATGTTAAAATACTTTTGCTTTCCATTTTGGAATCGCAAGTCAAGTTATTTATAAAGAACATCCTTACTCCATCAAATTGTATACCTCAACTTCGCAAGGACTTATGTTCACCACCTGAGGATCTAGAAATAAACGCACGTTGTTCGACTGAGTTAATGGTCTAAATGAAAACTAGGGCGAACGGATTTTCTACATGATAGACAAGTGTTTTATGATTATCAATGTGGAGACGATCCACGTTCAAGTGAAACGACTTTGGTTTGGATCACGCAATGTAAACCAAAACTAGTGACATGCACTCCTTAAAAAAAGGACTCCTCTCAAGCATAACCCTCAAAGCTAAGGGAGCATGATAAAGAAATAAGTAACAATGACCATGTATAAATCAATCCCAGAAGGAATGACTGTTGCTGATTTATTAAGTATGGATCCATAAATACACTCGGCTTAAAACCCTTTTTATTGACCTCATTTAGAATTTCCGGTACTAACATTGGAATACAGTTGAGGGCGAAACTATAATTTATGGACGAACGAACCAGGTATCAGATAAGAGGTCTCGAATGTTGGAGCGAAATTCATCCATGTATTTAACTACACCAAGTTTTGGCATTTTAGTTGATGTCAATTCGTGATGATAACCCTTAATGTAAATCCTAAGTCTAGCCGTCAACTGTAAATCATAACTCTAATTCCTCAGGTTGGTTTATAAACCTCATTCAGTCCTAATTATTAGGTGGACACTATCAAGGTCATTTTAGCGTCGCTCAAAGGTCGTCCATAGATTAGTCTCACAGAGTTGGATCCCTTTTAACCATCTGACGTAAGATTCAAACCCTTTCACAGCTAGATTAACATATCCACTAACAATGAGAAAATTGTCTTAGAGCAACAGCTACATTAAAGCGCAAATCCATGCAAAACATTGAGGATTTTAGCACCAGGAAAGCGGGGTAACAACCGGAAGAAAGAAACAGATAAACCACGTACCAAAGAAACACATAACTACAGACATCAAAATCAAACTGTATTTGAGGTTGAAATCTAGAGACAGACGTTTGATAAGACTTACAAACAACTGATATTTTTGGACATTAAATACTCATTAGATACACAGAGGAGCGTATCGCCTCTTGACTTAAGAAGTTCTACGTTGTTACTGACTAACTTAGGACACCTGTTTACATGATGTGAGGCGCGATAAAAAACGGTACCAATTTGTAGCTCGACATTACCAGCCTTAAGAACTTGCTAAATGAACATGAATGATGTATCACGCCACTAACATTGATATACAGTTCGTTTTATCGTAACTGGCTCAGGATAGATCTGCAACAGTAATAGTAACAACTTAAAATAGATTGTTTCCATAAGTTTATTATAACAATTGGAATTTACAAAAAACTCATTTCTTTTTGCGATAACTGCATCCTGTAAACACAAAAAGATTATGGTGATAAGAAGAATTAATTTACCATCAGCTAGCCGTGCTCTACCACCAGTAGGCTGACATAGAATTCGGTCACATCCAGGACAAACTACAGCTGTCTGTGCATGACTGAAAATGACCTGGATTTTCAAACAGCCTAAAAATCAAGAACGGATCTGTATGAATTTACCTGAACACTTAACATCCATGAAAAAGGAATTTGGTGAGGGGACCAAACGTTTTAACTTGCACTTTCGTTTCTCTTCTCGAAAAGACGGATGTAACAAATCACGAGCAAGCTGTTAAACAAAATTCAAGTTAAGTACGAATAGCACAATATAGACAATATCGAAAAAACGATAACAAAACTAAAAGCCATCAGGCACAACTAACCGGCATGGTGATCGCGTTACAAGCAACCAAATGTGCACGCGAACCGCGGTTGCTTAAAGAAGTCTGAGTTCAATGTCCAATGAAAAAGCAAGGCCATTTTTCATATACATTCCGATTTTGTCTTGAAATTCAGAACGATGAGGGTGTGATTTAATCAATTCGGTCGCTTTCTTGTGTATGCGTGGATGGATATATCTCAATGACTATTTATGTGACCCGTGACCAAGGAAGACGATTGTTTGAGTGCAAGACTTCTACAGGAAAGCATATCGAACCCTGTTTTGGTGTAATACAACAGTATTTGAATGATCTTCGGATCTGCTTGACAAATTTCTGAGGCTTGTCCAACAAACATTCAGAGCTAGGTATACAAATAAACTCAACCAAACTGGATTCAAAATGTAGCGTAAATAAATCCCCAAAATAAATAGCTCTCTAAATTTTCGACATTGGATGTTGACCACAGTTTTAATGGACTCATCTAGTTGAAGGCGCTTGCTCAAGCATCCGCACCAGATCACGTGTGGGATCGCGTACGAGTGTTTTCCGACATGCACTTACATATTTTTCTTTTCTTTTCCAGGACGACTGGAAAAGACGATGAAAAGAACGATGAAGTTGCGAAAAACGAAAATCTGCATTGTACCTTTTTTTACTATATTGTATATCATGGTCCATTATAGTAAGGAAAGACAACCAGACGCTGCTAAACCTAGCAAGCTATCAGAAGAGTGTTTACCAACGAAAAACTCGTTGGGTTTAATCTTCTGGCTGGCCACGTCTTAGGGTCATCACTACCCCACTAGGGGGAGGAGTGATCTGTAGCGGTAAATAATTCCCCAAAATCAAATATCTCTGTAAGTTTTCGACATTGGATGCTGACCACAGTTTTAGTGGACTCATCTAGCTGAAGGCGCTCGGTCAAGCATCCGCACCAGATCACGTGTGGGAACGCCGTGCTCAACATCTGCCGCAATCGCTAGCCAGATTAGTGCAAACGATCCTCGATATATTGATAGCTCATCAAATATATCTTCGATCTCCTCACTTCTGTCTTTTGATTTTACTTGGTGGATGGGCTTCATATAAGAATATGCCACTGGTTAAAGCGGTGTCATACTCCGAATACCTGTGGCATCTTCATTGGTGAGCCCGACGTGATCTGGTACACCGAATTGCAAACTGTGAGTCTGTTCCTTTTTGTGATTTTACACATCATTGTCTTATTTTAATTTTTTTATACCTTGAGGTATTTTTTTCCCGTGTTTATGGGTATATATATATATATATTTCCCACTCGTTCATTTTCGTACTTGGCATATTACTATGACTGAACAGACACCTAAAGTATTTAAGTTAAAGACTGTGTCCCCACCTTCCTTCCAACTTATGCCCTTCTGGCCAGACAACATTGAAGCTTGGTTTTGCTACGCAGAAGACGACTTCTACGAGCACGGTGTGAACGACACATGTACAAAATTCCTCAAAGCAGTCAAGGCACTAACGCGCGAATTCAACAGGTACTTAACGCCTAGTATATTTACTAGTGATTTTTCTCACCCATACAAAACCCTCAAACGTGCCATCTTTAAACGCGGAAATCTAACCGATCAACAAAGGTTAGACCAACGCCTCAACAACATCGACCTGCAACACGGCTCTGCCACAGACATGTTGCAAAGAATGCGGGAAGTTATTGGCCAAAGAACCTTCGACGAAGGTCTGTTCAAACAACGTTTACTATCAAAACTTCCTCAACAGGTGAAAACTGTGCTGGTCTCGTTCCAAAACAACGCCGTAGACGAGCTAGCTGCATCTGCCGACCGTATCCTCGAAAGCACCAAATCTAACGCCGAGGTTTTTTCCGTTAAAGAAAAGCCTCAAACGACCAAGAATGACATAACACAGTTATTTCTTACGCTTACGCGTTATCTCAAACTTCGTAATGACCGTAAACGGTCACACACCCCGCGGAGAAGTACATCACGTAGGCGATGTTACTAAAACTCGAGAGACGGATAATCTTGACTGTTGCTGGTATCATAACCAGTACGGAAAGTCCGCCAGAAATTGCAGAAAACCCTGCAATTTTCCCCAACGCGAAATCCGTCGACGTGAAGAACGTTTCGGGAAACTTCCAAGCCAGCACGGGTTAACGGCAACCGTAGCCGGCGAACATAGCCGTCTTTTATATGTCACTGATGTGATAACGAGAGTTCGCTACCTCGTAGATACTGGCGCAGAGGTTAGCGTTCTCCCAGCGAATTCCAACGACCGGCTACACGAGCCGGTTTTAAGTCTACAGGCGGCAAACGGAAAGCCTATCGCTACGTATGGCAAAAGGTATGTTTATCATAACGTGGGTTTACGCAAACCCATTCACTGGATCTTTGTTGTTGCGGATGTTTCTGTGCCAATCATTGGTATGGACCTTTTACAACACCACAACTTAATTATGGATACGAGCAAACGGAGGCTAGTAGACGGAAACACTAATTTATCTGTTTGCCTGACCCCTTTTTCTGGTTGCAGGTTATCTCCAGTCACTATTAAGCACACTATAGACCCCTTCTACTCGATAAATATTCTGGCATTTACCAATCCCAACCGAAATCGCCGCGTGTAACCAGCAATGTTACACATCGCATCACGACTACAGGACCACCTGTCTTCTCGAAAGCACGCCGACTGGCTCACGAAAAGTTAGGATTGGTGAAAAACGAATTTGACTTTATGATAGACTTAAGAATCATACGACCGTCGAATAGCTCATCGGCATCTCCGTTGCACATGGTCCCTAAAAAGGACAGCAACGATTGGCGTCCAACTGGTGATTATCGGCGATGGAATGCGAAAACCATTCCTGATCGTTACCCGTTGCCTCACATTCACTATTTGACAGCCACATTGAAAGTCACAACTGTCATTTCGAAAATTGACTTGGTGGGTACGCTTCATATTAGAAGATGTTACTGGTTAAAGCGTTGTCATACTCCGAATACCTGTGGCATCTTCAAAAACTTGACTGACACAGACTGCACATATTATAGAATTTCATTTTGCAAGTTTCAATTCGGTAGGAGATGGCATGACCCAAGTCCGCAGATGAGGAAAATTAAATCTATTCGTTGAATCTTTAAATGCAAAGAACATGAGCTGCTTGTTGTTTTGATCTGCCACAGTCCAAACTGTGTGATAAATGGGGTCTTGCTGGACGGTTTCAACACCTTGTCTTCAAGTGGTCAATGGTTAGTCACGAGAAATTTCAATACATCTTTGATAGACTGGAAGAACCTGAGTTGCCAGAAAAGTATTTCAAACAATTGCTACTCCACTTAACCTAGCGGAGTGTGTTAAAGATAAGACCCGGACTCCAAATAATCGCTACTAGGTCTCATACTAACCCATCAAAAGGATGGCGTTATAGACATCGACAATATACCGCTTTCATGTAAGAGTGAGAGAGTCTTCGATTTTCATATTGTTGTTAACAACGATGTGTCACCACAAGCCAGATTGAGTGCTTATAAAGCACATATACAAGAAATTATGAACTTGTGATCTTCGGCAGATTATACAATAGAACGAGAATTTCCGGTTGAAACTGCTTGGGAGATATTCATTAGTTTATACTCCTTGGACTACACCAAGGGGTCCCAGAAAATCACCAATGTGGCTCAGCAAAAAGGTTTATGCATTCCTTCGTAACAAGAAAATATTGTGGATGGAGATTTATTTTACTGGGTACTGAAACAAAATCTTAAATTCAACTGACAAGTTATAACAGAAAGCTCCGCTAGTCTATAAGATTGTATGAAGAAGAGCTCGATAAAGAGTCTATAGAACACCCTTATTTGTATTCATACAAATACCAAAGGACTAAGAGACAAAGCACCATCATGGCATTTTGTGAAGAAACTAAAATTACATAACCAGTGGGGAAACGATTGTGGTATTTTTGGATTAATTTAACAATGTATATAGAACAGAGTTTCCCTCACTTTCGGTCCATACAAACTTCGTCCAATACACTGAACACTGTAACCACTAAAGAACTCAGTGTCTTTGATCTACTAAATAAAATTGATACACGTAAATCCACTAAACGTGATGAAATGAATCCAAGATCACTGAAGGAACCAGATAACTTCATCACAAATCCTTCAAGTCTACGTCTTAACATGTCTGGTGGTACGTCACCAAATGACAGGAAGAACGGCAAATTAAGTCCTATCTTCAAATCAGGTATGAAACACGAATCTGAGAACTGTCGATCTGTAAACTTTACAATATCGGTTGTTAGAATTTTTTGAAAGGATTATTCCAAGTTATTTAGGTATCTGGATAAAAACTAAACCCTTTCTTAAAACCAGCACAGCTTTATAACACGTTTTTCATGTCTCACAAAATTATTAGTATCTGATAAATGTTCATGGGCCCTTAGAGATCATAAGTCACCTATATATGTGACTTACATTAACTTCATTATGGCTTGTGACGAATTTCCTCAAAACCGATTACTATCTAATTCAAATGATATCGGGACTGATGATAACTTATTTATGTAGATAAACGACTTCCTAGCTGATAGTCAAAAAGTGTTAAGATTGAATTCGAAGTTATCTAGATCGGAAACTGTGCTTAACGGAATGCATCAGGGTACAGTTTGGGAAGGCAAAAGTCGTTCTGCCTGTGTGCAAATGAACATCAACGTTCTCCGTTATTGTTTGTTTTGTTGTATTCTGACGACGTTAAGATGCATTGAGAAATAAAAAAATGGTGATTGTTAAAAGTTCCAAAATGACCTGTCGAAATTATCTAAGATATTTAGAATTCGGCAGTTCACGATAAACGTCTGATAGATTAAGTCGATCAAACACCGTTTTAGAAGGTATTTAAAGGAAACCTGCAGAAGAGGTACTCAAAATGGTAAGTGAACCTCACCTAAAAATACTAGGTGTCTCATGTTTAAAACCTGAGCATAATAGAAATAACGAAAGTGGAAATTGAAACAGCAAGGTTCCCCACAGCCTTAACGGGTCACCAATATGTCTGAAGTAAAAATTAGTTTTAAGAAGTGTTCCGTAAAAGACCAGAGATAAAATGCATAGCAAGTTCTTGTGAACGTTTACGAGAGCAAATCAGTAAGTTACTGATGTCTTTATCACCAATGATAATAACGGCACTCTCTTCTCAATCTATTGAATGCAGGCCCAACATTTGCTGTAGTTCCGTAGTACCTAGGTGGTTACACAAGATAATACTCATTTATGATTTCTGACGTAAATCAGTTCGACGTGACTTCGATTTCGGTATAATCGGTCTTCATTAGTAGGGATACGAAGTCAACAGACCTATGTTGATCCTCGCAATATGTAGTATGGTGAAGATCCGACCTCACTTTGGATGTATCAACTGAGACTGCTGATATTACGAGTTAGGAATTTCCAAAAATTAGCTGCCCGGTTTGAGAAACGGATTTCGAGACATAAGCAGTTTGATCACGGTTTTGAACTCGCTTTGAATGTTCTCTCAGATGATCAGTCCTAGACGGAAGGAAGAGATGAGACATTAGAACGAAGTTTATAGTTCAGTAAACGGTAAGTCCGTTTGAAATCATCGCATACCCCTAGAGAACGGAAATAGGTTGATTTGTTTCAGTCCGTCTTAATAAGATGGGCTGGCGACATCTTTCAGAAATCCAGTCGTTCCATCATATACACCTATTAATCGCTTCTCGAATCTTACACTCGAAATGCAGTCTCATGGAAGTTGGGTATAATATTCTAAAAGTTTTTTCTTTCAAGTAATGGAAACATTTACAAATAGCACATGAAACCATGAGGTCTTTGACAGCGTCAGCTTCGCAGTTCTTAGGTTGCTGAATATTATGACTTGGGTGATACAATTTCACTTATGACGTGAGTCACCACAGTTATTTATTTTCATCACTTCATTCTCGATATCACTGGCTTCTAATGGTGGCTTGTAAAGCGATTCAGCTATCGGCTTTCAACCGTCTGTAATACTATTCAATCTGACCTCCAAGTTTTAATGTCGGCTGTATCAAACAGAGCAAATGACTTTGCTGCATCAGGTTAGTCATTTACACGAAATAAATAAATAAAAGTACTGACGATTTCACCTTTGGAAAATTGGCACTCTGGTAAGTCACCGATTTTTCGTGCCATTTTTCTCCTATCAATGAGAAAGTAAATTAACCTTTTTACGATTTCATAATAAATCTTAGAACTTGCTCGGCAGTAGGCAGGATTATCTAATCAACCAAAGCAGGTCTCAAAATTCGAATTGTTTAAGTGCACCATGTAGCCAGGTTTGGGATTTGAACCAATAATCCGGATTACGGTGTATATTTAATTGGAGGCGTTACTGATAGTTGATTGGTTACGTCTGTTCACTTAAGCTGTCAGTCGCCCTATGGCGTTTCTAATTCGCTCGTAATCCGGAGAATATTACAAAGTGACCACTAAAATGTTTCGAAAAGAACTTTCTCCGACTAGCAGGAGCTGTCACATTCAAGCCAGTGATATAATCGGTAGGATTCGCTTCTCAACCCTCAATATTCTAAATACTTAGCTTCTGGTGAAAAGTTCGTGTGGGTTAGCAGGTAAATCTACAAATTACGCATTAAAGTACCTCTGGTTTGTTCAGCTAATATAACGAGTTAAAAACAATTAATTGTTTTTTTTGTTTTTAAATTTAAATTATGCACTGTATCAAGTCGTTAACCATAGTTTGTAATTTATTTTTCGATGTGTTAACATTGATTATCAGAATTAGTAGCTTCATTATTTACACAGATTTCAGTAAGAATCCCTACTCATTTTTGTAAAGCAGTTTGCTCCGACACAATCTAATGTTAATTAAGTAGCACGCGTAACTTACCCAGGAAAAATGTCCTCCCGAATCCACTAACAAACACGTGAACAAGAGAAAAATAAGGCCTTTGATAGGAATTATTTCGCATCTGCGTTTTATGAATTTACAGTCCAAAAATGACCGTGTCTGTGAAATACTAACACATAACTTAAGAAAAGCTCTAAACATCACACACACTGCATCCAAACGGAGTGCCGTTTCTTGCAATCGCCCCGTAATAAAAATCACCAACAAAGACAGACCAGTTGAATTTACCGCATCTATTTGTGTTAATCAACTTAACTGTTCATATGGAGCCTGTTATGTAGTGCACAATTCAGCAAGTCGGTTATTATATCTTCTAACACAATCACCTAAGTGATAAAGAACTTCAACCCGACCTAGATAAGGTTTTCTATTGTATTCCATCAAATTTTCTTCAAGGTTTATGAATTTGTCTTCTGCTCACTGCTAAAGCTGTCAAAATTAACAATCACATGAATGTGGTACTCAAATGAAATATGTACACAGTTTTTCCATACTTTGGCTATCTATATAGAGGATAAAAATGTGGGTCATGACAAAACTTTGATTCACCCTACTTTCTAAAACTTAAAGTATCTCTTTCACTTTCGTGTTCTTGCATAAATTTGACATCTATCCCTTTACTCCTACTTTATAATTATACAATTAACTGTTAATCTTAAATATTTTCTCACTAAATGCCATATAATCTACGAGTCATCGAATTATATTTTTTGAATCTTTTCACAAAATTACTTTGCTTGTTATAATTAGTGCGTTTTATTAATCACTTGGTTAATAATTTGCCAACATTTTTGTATTGATATGTAAAACTACAGCATTATTACGTAAAACTATCACTCAGCATTATCTTATTATTATTGATGGTCGTTTACATGTGAATGTCGTCACAATAAAAAACTTACCTAAGTATATTTTTCTCTCTATTTGTCTGCCCATTAAATACCTATTCGAAATTCCAAATACGCGACATTATTAATTATGCCTAGATCAGGGTTTGAAGCGAAATTCCCACCATAAATGGCGTTCGCTGAAGTTATATTTGCGTGTTAGAAAGTTTGATGTCGTTTCTCAGATACCAGACTTACGTTTCTTACCACCTGGCATTTTTTATCAAGACATGCCTGCAATATTAAGGGTAATGATGCTCCTCGTGACATTCGTACTCGCGTCACAGTTTCTTAGTCTTAGACTGTATTACTGAGCTATTTGAGCATCGACTGGTTTTAGTTCGTGAAGCTGGCTAACGCGGCTTCAGATACTACAGGTTTATTTATTTTTATTTATTTTAACACATAGGTATTGGTACAAGGAGGCACCAAATACATATGCGCCACACGAATCTCAATTGATTTGTGTGAGGGCTGTGATACTGCTCGGGTGCCCAAACCGAAGCAGGTGGTTTTCTTAGGGGGCCACACCCCGAGCCTTTGACCTGAAGGTCTGATCCACAAAGCAGTGGAGCATCGTTAGGAGATGCAGTCCCATGGTAGCCGGTGACCAACGATTGGTTCATACGCCACTTGTTCCTTCAGGATACTGGAGCCCATGTGCACCATTGGTTTGGGATCCGGTTAAAGCGCCGGACATTCGCTTTTCGTCCTCTCATTTTCGTAAGCAACACCCCCGCCACGTGAAGGCAGTGAGTAGGACTTCCCTGGCAGGGGCTATGTACGCGTGGCCATGTGAGAGCATTTGGAGAGGGAGAGCGGACTCTCCCCACTCTCGGCCGTACCAGGGCATTTGGGGGCTACAGGAAGCATCATTTTCTTTTAAAAAATTTAGGTGTACGTTAATGGCGACTGGGAAGCACTATGTTACATAGGACCAGAGTTCCTTGGCGACTTCTTTCAACCACCCAACTGGAGATAAATGATCTGATAAAATTGACCTAAACTTCAACATCGTCTCTAACATGATTGGATAAGCTAGTCAATATATATATATATATATATATATATATATATATATATACCTCTAAACTTTTGTACTAATGTATTCAAATAAGGGCGACCACAAAAAGGCGCGTATTATTAAAGGTAGGAACTGAAAGGCGAAATAAATTTTTTAATGGTGTAAAATATGTTCCATTCGCTTTCTGTTCTTTTATACTTTGACAAATAAAAAAGTGGTTTTCTGAACGTTTAATGAACAATCTAATTTCAACAAACACTAATTCTTTGAATTTGGTAACAAATTATTGTTTTTATTACCATATTCATGTTATCTCATACTACCAATTCCGACAGCTAGGCTATAATCTATTCGGTGGGATGTTTCAAAAATGATTGAGCGATGTTCGATGAATTTCACTTTGAATAAGTTTTCAGTGCTAAATACATTCCTTTCTTTTAAAATTAAAAAGTTATGTGCTATTCCACGTAGATAGTTTAGTACCGACCTCTTTTCGTTATTCGCTACGAGCAGCTTAATACGTACAGTTACCTTCTTGTGCTTTCTTCTTAAGCACTGTTGGCTAAAGCTTCAGTGCCACCCGAGAACCACATTGTTCGTTTTAGGAAAGAATTTCACAACAAAGGGCGAACCGAACATAATTCACATAATTAAAAATCTTATTCCCCTTTTCAGTGCTTATTTTTATTATTATGCGTCATTTTCACAGTCGCCGTCATTAATGTTCGCCCTTTTTAATAGAACCTTTTTTCATTTCCCCTTTTGCTCACACCCTTACTAATATAGGCCAAACAAGCATTAGTAGTAACGTCCAGTATATGATAATTAGAAAAACAAGACACTCCACCGTATAGACGAAACGTCCCAATACTAAGTCTCAAAAGGACCACATGTTTTTAATCCGTGTGTTGTATGCTCAATATTGTCATTATTCAACGACACTTTCTTCACGATCGATATGTTGACATTCGAACAAGTAAATCTCAAAACAAAGATTTCTTTGGGACAAATCAAAGTCACATATTTGATGATAGGTTTGGAAAATAAGAAAAAACGCTTATCTCACTTATAAAGAATGTTGGAAATATCCTTAATTTTAAATCATGAGGTAAAGACTACTTCCTTTTAAAAAAGAAAAATAGGTACTGTTTTTGCAAAACAATTAGCTTATTATAATAGGGAAACTAAAAAAATAAGTAAATACTTGTCAGCCAAGTCAAGTAATAAGTTTAATTAATTTAATCAACTTATTAAACTTTATTATTAGTGAAGGTTTGTGAAAATTGTGGAATATTATACATAAAACGTCACTAATTATTTTTAATTACTTTACTATCGAAAAACAGAAACCACTAGACCAGTGGAATTTAAACATAATGAGTGGAAGACGGTTGTGGAATATCCCAAATGTATTGAAGTGAGGAATGTAAACCAGTGGATGCCAATTCAGTAGTTTAAAAGTTAAGGACTTACCACGAAACCCGAAGTTTCTAGGTTCAATCCCCATTGTGAGTATGGATGTACACTAGATTCTGTTAAATGTATTAATTTCTCTAAACCATTACTAAATTAAAATATCGTAAGACAAAAGTGTCACTAGACAATATGACTGTGGAATAATATATAGAATATAAAAATGAAAAGTACTAATTAAATTTAAATGAATATGAAATTCAGTGAGATTGAACTTGTTTCAATATTCATGTCATATGTCTGATGCTTTGTTTATTTGTTTGTTTACTGAAAGAGAACAGTTTATGATGTGATTAGCTTTTAAGAAAATAATTTATAACACATTAAAGAAAATATTATTGAGAGAATGTAAACTAAATTTTATGCTACACAGATAAATTAGTTACGAATTTCAAACAATATACAACATTGTTTCGTGTATATAAATCGAATTCTGAATTTCTGTTGCTAAACTTATAAAACAAGCGGATAACTAACGATAAAAACATTGAAATTTTCCGGGTATATTTTTTGGATTATTTTAATATGAGCGAAAGATAAAACTCTTGGTATATTCGGTATATGAGTAGCAGTCAAATCCTAAATGTGCGTTATGGTTTATTTGAGATTGATTGGTTGGATCCTCCTGGATCCCAATGTTGATATTCACAATGAAATTTAGACCTAGTGCATTTTGCTTCAAATGCCCAACGACAAACTGACCGAATCCAGTCCTTAAAATCAAGAATGTAAAATTGAACCCTTTACAAATAAAAAAGCCAATTAGAATAATGAAACGAGAGGAAGGATTGGTCAGCGACTCTTACCTTTACAATCGTAAACATACTCCATTACTTTTTAAAATCCTAACATATGAGATTTCAAAAATTAACCGATTATTCTTACGAAGGAAAGGTGAAAAACAAAAAAAGCTGCAAGAACAAACAGTTTTTTATCTGGAACATCGGAAAGCAATGAAGTATGGTGCTAACAGTAACTAAAAAGATCATTAGTCCTGAAAAAGTTAGTTGTACGTGTAAATAGAACATTATAGAATAACAAATTTTAATCATGAACTATGGTAAAAAATAGACATGGAAACCAGTAAAAAGTCGGTTTAAGACGATAAGCAGGTAACAAAGTGTTACAGAGAGGATGGCCTATTCAGAATGCAGATTAGGTGCGATACAGTAGCGTGCTTTTACTGGACAGCTTTAGATGATTAAAATAAAAACTCCAGTGAGGGTTACTCTCTTATATGCTACACACCCATTAGGTGGATGTGAAAATGTTATGTATTATACTTTTATTAAACATTGAAAAAGGAATCGTTAATTTCACACGTACATTGTGGGTTCCAGCCTTTACAGATATTCACTCCTACTTAATAGTTCCTAAATTCTTCTCAATTCCTCCCTAGCCTTCTGAATTAAATATTTAGATCCAGTTTATATTATTGCGATATAAAGCTGAAGAAAGTCGGTATACTGGTTCAATGAAGTCTCTTTTTCAATTAACAATTCTTTTCATATTCCTATATGATTTGGACAAATAAAATTTAGACTTTTCTGATCATCAGTTCAACATATAATTAACCAAGATGTAGAACTCTACTACTTGTGTATCTCAATGATTCATCTCCAAACATCATTGTAATCAGCATCATTGCAGTTGAATAGTTCAGTGTACACCAGCGTTATCTCTCTCTCTCTCTGATTATATGGTCTGATTTGTCAATAATTGTGTTAAAATCACTACTGGGGTAAATAAGTCAATAACTTTTGTTTAGTTGTGAACATGTTTTCATTCTCACAATATTATTATCATTGAAAAAACGAGCTTCCTACTGTGTTATTAATCAATCGGTTATGAAATTTTTATTTTAACGATATTAAGATTATTAATCAGTCAATTGTTAATCGACTAAGTTCTAGTTTATCTGAAATATAATTTGTTAATCAATATGAGTGACCTGTTCTCCTCCACGTGGGGTAACAGGTATAAGTAAATGTAAAGTTGTTAATCAATATGTGGTAGATCGATATAAAAATAAGTGATTCAGTCGTGGTTTTACCAAATCTTCACAACCCCACTCCCCTTCACTAATAATAACCATGTGTTAACTAGTGACTAATTTCAAGAGGTGATTGCCTGAGTTCTAGTGTTAAACCGTAACCAGTGGAGTTCAACCTTGTCCAGTGTGAGGTATTTTAACACAACCAGTATTGGGAGATGATTGTCTAATACTCACAAATTGATTGAAGTTAGTTTTTTGAACCATTTAGTTACCAATTCGATGGTTTTCTTGTCACACGCTCATCGTGGGACCTGACGGTTTTTGGTCCGACTTCCAATTTACTCGTGAATAAGCAATATTACGATGAAATATCTTTCCAGTGGTTGTTTACCTGAATTTGATCTGTAATGTGAACCACTAAGTTAAGAAATCTCCAAACCCGCCCTCGCTGTACTATTAGAAACCTGTTTTTGTCGTGTTAAAATAAATCTTTATCTATCCATCTTTTCTTCTGTCTCTCATTGAGTCGTACACATTCGTGTGTGACTTTCTAAAATATAAAATCATTGTATTTGTTCCAGTTAGTTTAATTATGGATATAATCGTTATTAAGCAATTATATTGGTAAAAAAACAATTTTCCTTTGTTTATCAACAAATTACAAGGTCACATCAAGAAGTGATTATTTCCAGGTAATATTTGTTTGAGTTCTAAAGTATTTGTTATCACTTTGCATTTATCAGTAAAGGGTTGCGGTGGTTGTTGAGCTTAGTTTGATATCATGAATGGATTGATGTTAGACCACCATTGAGAACCAGGAAACACTGGACGGTCGTTTCATCTTAGTATAGGATTCCTAAGTAGTGCGCACCCACGATCCCGCAAGCGGGACTTCGACCCAGGACCTTCGCTCTCGCGTGCGAACACTTAACCTCTAGACCACAGAGCCGGCCGTTTACATTTGTTTGAAGAGTCCCCAACGATTTTATTTTTCTTCTTTTTTAAGCCTGTGCAACACCATTTTCAGACTATTAATTTTAAGAAAACTGACATATATTTCTTTTAGTTCTGTTGTGCTGTTGATTAAACTTAAAATTGACTAAACGTTGTTCGAATTCTTAATGATTAAAACTGAAAAAAATTATAATGAATGCTGAAAGTACTTTTGGAGAACATTTAATCAATTTTCTGTTGACAATGTTATGTAATACATGTATGAATATAAATGGGTCTGTAGGTAATTCTGGGGCTCGAACCTTCAATGCGATTCGTCGATGAAGTTTTCATCAGAACAAGATAAGACACTCAGTTATGAATTTACTGGAGAAATGATCTAGCATACGCCTTAAAATAATAATATTAATGGAATCAAATTGTCACATTTAAATTTCATCTCCCAGTATCCAAATTACCCCTACAGGTAAAGAATAATGTTAATATCTATTATTGAATATTGAGTTGGACTGTGTCGGTAGATGCAAACTGCTTGGTTAAAGTCTCCGAGATTATCGTCATCAATGATTTGGGATGTGTAAAGTGACTCAGAATCAGTTACAAGGGCGTAGATACATTCATTCTTCCCTTCCCTCACAGACCTTAAGTTTTAAAATTACTTTAACATTTTTATTCCATAATCTCATTTATTCTTCTTTAGTCAATTGCATTGTTTATGAACGCTTTTTTCCCCTACTCTGGAATTTAAATCAAACTAACGCACACATGTGTCAAGTTCTATCTTGTTATCAGTATGTGGGTTATGAAGATTGTTACGTTTTTGATTCTGTCTTGTATATGAATAACTGGTCTGTATGTTGGTTAATTTATAGGGATTAGTTACAAATCACTTACATTCATTTATATCAATCAATTTTAGAGTATACAAGCACACTTTAAACTGTAACAAACTATATACTTCTTTTCAGTGGGATAAGACTCTCTGTAATTGAAATTGAAGATGATAAGCGTAATATCAAACGATTAATCTAAAAACAATAAATACTGATTCATTTTAATTTTTCTAATTTTTAGCTCTCATTTTCTTAATAGTTTTTTAATAGTTTACATCACGGACCGTTCATAATTAGACAAACATTGAAAACCAATAAGCATTAAACAACTGTTTCTCCCCAATATTAAGACTCCTTATCAGTGCACATTTATGATTCCATCTGAATTCAGGAGTTTCGGTTTCTCTTGTGAGCTCTTAGTCTTTATACAACTGAGCCGAAACCTATTGGTACACATGTCCAACTCCAATCCATTCATTATATTTCGTGGTCATCTCTCATAGATGGTCATTGCTGAGACAGAGTTCCATACTAAGACAAAACAACTATTTAGTACTTCCTGGTTGTCACTAGCAATCTAACTTGGTCAATGATGCAAATTAAGAAATTTTAACAATCTCCACAAACCCCTATACTACTAATACTAGTAATATTACTAATTAGTATAAGAAGGCGTTCTGTAGAGATTGTAGTTGTTTCAATAGTTGACATCATGAGTCAATTAAAGCTAGACGACCATGAAAAACCTGGAAGCAACTGAACGGCCGTTTCGTCCTAATGTGGGACTCCTCAGCAGTGCGCAACCACGATCCCGCCTCGTGAGATTCGAACCCAGAACCTGTCAGTCTCGCACGCGAGTGCTTAACTCCTATACCACTAAGCCGGCATACAACAGTGTTAATATCTAACTTCAGCTAATCCACAAAATTGAGCGACACATCCACCATTGTATTTAGTGAATTACTATCTCAAAACAGACCCGGTTGAACTCCACTGGTCACGACTTCTCACTAGAACTCCAAGATATACCTGTTGAAGCCAGTCACTAGTGAGTATATGTTGATTAGTAACAGTTTTTTTATTATACATCAATGAAGAATTTAGTAAATTGATTAAAATAAAGAAAGATTATTCAACTCTTATGATCTTATCTTGAATAATTAGGTTATTTCTTTTATTTATACTTACACTCATGTACATTAATAATAATAATAATAATAATAATAATAATAATAATAATAATAATAATAATAATAATAATAATAATCATGAAATTGATTAACTCACAGCCGAATCCGATAGAAAAAACAAAGTTCATGTTTGTTTTTTTTGCGTTAAAATTTTCATGGCGAATTCATGTTTGTTTTCCTCCTTTCTGACGTTTCACATTATTATTATTATTATTATTATTATTACTATGATCGTTACATTTTTCCTTCTACAGAAAATCTCTTCCATGTAAAATGGTTAAAACTGATTTTAGTGTATGGTCCTTTGTGAAACAATGTATTGGAAAGGTAACTATTATTATTATCATTATTATTATTAATTATAGTTTTAACTCGGTTTAAATAAATGAAGTTTCATTCTTTATTTTAATGATTATTAAGTTTTATTGGAACTAGATGTAATTGTTTCCTGCTACTGTGAAGTGTCACTCAATTTATTGGCTTTTTATTAAAAATATTTAACAAATAGATAATCAAATTTTAACTAAACATTTGACCATTTTGAGTGTCAAATCGATTTTGGCCATACCAAAACTACCTGGTTAGGGTTTTCTCAGTATCTACAGTTAGTAGTTAGAGATATTAGATGATTCAAAATCATTCACAATGGCGTAGATTCATTCACTCTTCAGTTTTCTCCTAGATCACAAGATGTATTATTACTTCATACATATCTTTTTTTCTGCCTATTTGAACCATGTTTGGTCTTTCTCATCGGGATTACATAATTTAAATTCCTTTGCTGTTCATCTTTTTATATTTATTTTGTCGTCCTAATGTTGTATGACAACTTCGCCCAAGGCATATATGTGCCAGGTTCTACATTGATTTTGACTGTTTGACTTTGGTGTGCTATCTTTATTCAGCTGCTAACCTGTCAGGTTTGTGTAGTATCGATGGGAGGAATACACTGTATCATTGTTTGCTTACTAGATATGAGCCAATAAAACAAATTAGTCGAATTAGCCTAACAGAAAAACGTGTTTATTTCAACTATCCAAAAATTGCGAGATGATATTCTATTTCCTAAACTATATGGTTTCACGGTACAAATGTTAGTTGCTATAGTAAAAGACAAAGTTTTTGTTTTTTTTATGAACAGCCAGGAGGCTTTTCTGGTTGACCTTGAGTACGATTGGTTGTTCTCTACATATCACCTTTGATTAATAATTACACGAATGACTGATCATTTGTAAAGTCTTATCTCTAGAGTAGTTTTATATCAAATTTTTGGTTAGTACAACACATCGATAAAAAGTTGACATAACGAATAAACCAAAGTAATTACGGACTAGTTACAATTTTTTTAAGTTTGATAATTTAGTCAATAGGGAAGAAATAACAAAAGAAATGTAATTCTATTATTTATTTCCAAGTGTTTGAATCTGCCTGTTGTCGATATCAAAGGATGAATTTCGATTGAGACAATCCGCTCAGGATAATACACGAATCGCGAAAAGAGATTGATCAATTGCCGTTTTTATGACTAACAACCGGAAAAATCAAACCCTAGCTACTGGCTATTGTGACTCATTAGGTCAGTGGGTGTTTGAAGTGGAAATTATTGATTTCGAGTTTCGGTGTGAACATCGATATTAGGATGCAGGTGCACATTCAGCTGATGACTCTAAAATAGGAGAAAAATCACAACCACATTTCATCCATTCTAAAGATTTAATGTTGACTATTGATTTTCTGCTGTCATCCAACTAACATCTCGTCTGTTTAGTAAACAATTTTGTTTCTTATCAGAAGGGTTTTGTGGATACTATAGTAATTTCAATGGTTGAGATCATGAGTCAATAAGACGAAACGTCCGTCCAGTGCTTCCAGGTTTTCCATAGTGGTCTAGCTTCAATTGACTCATAATTTCAACCATTGAAACTTTGTTTCTATTAATCATCTCATATTCACTACTCAAAAAAGCGAACAATACAAATTAACTAATTATATATATTTTTTCTCTAACTAATTAAAAGTTACTACTCTCTGTTTTCCAAAAAAAACTATATGTGATCGGTTAGCTTCGTAAATTATGAAAATATTGATTTTCACAAGTATTGATCAGAACAACAATTAAAAATAAATTAAGATTATGTAATAGTGTCAATTACTGTTCAGTATTATGATATCATCAATTTATGTGGGTGATTACATATACAATAACTAGGGAGATCTCTTTATGGGAAGAAATTCGACTTGTTTTGATTGAATAATTGTTACTATTATCATTATTGAATAATTAATAATTTCAAGTTAGTTTGCGCTTATTGGTTTTAACAAGCAAGGAGTACATGATAGTTGCTTTGTATGAGGTTGGGACTCTTTAAAAGTATACACTCATAAACTTCCCAATAATGTAGGCGTATGCTTAACCTTTAGATTAATGATTTTCCATCCGATAACTTACATTTACGACTTGATATATCTGTTACTTGGGCCGTTGACACTGAATTTCTGACCGTTTCCTAGACCCTTCGGCTTGGAAGTTTCCTGCATTTCAGCGTTAAACAAAAGATAAGAGACGAAAATTATGAAATGGAACTTTCAAAATTAGTTTAAGCACAGAAAAAAGTGTAGTTTTAGGTTTGCGTTATGACTAATTTTCTAGAAGCCTTCGGGACTGTTAACAAAACAAGTAATGATGCGATCAAGGAAGGAAAAATAATAGATCGTTTCTATAGGATATTCTTGAAAGTTTCTATTGAACGGTGATTGGAAAAAGTGTTTCCAACTTTTTTTAGCATGTTAAAACGTTTTCGAGCGATTACCGAGATTTTCCAACAAAATTTCAATTAGTTGCGCTAATGTCATCCAGTAAAATTGTTAGATTGCTATTTCGAAATGATCGAGCACCATTGGTCACGATTTTCCAGTTGAGCTCTAGGAATCTAGTCATTGTTGTGTATATGGTCCCCATTATTGAAAGGTTTATCAGGAACCCTATTATAACTATTGATTGAACATGGAAAGTTTGTCTTTGATTACTCAGTGGTCTAAAAATACCATTCTCCATGATATCTCTAAGTCCTGTGTCGTAGGTGTGCATATAGCTAGATAGTCTCATAATAGGGTGAAATAACTTTCTAGTCCTGTACCATATCATTAAGTTATGTGTTAGTGAATGCCGTTCGGTGATGTATATAATTTTTAGCATGAAAAGTCCCTTACTGCTCCCTTCAATTTACTAGTTTATCAATTACTTACCTATCGATTGTATATTTCTTTTCCATTTCAAGGAATTATCTAAAATCACTATGCCAATCATTCTTAATGAACCGTTAAGTTTTCTACAACGTGTTGCTGAATACATGGAATATTCCGAATTACTAGATAAAGCAGTTGGGGAGAAAGATCCTATTAAACGTATGGAGGTTAGTTTTATTCCGTCTAAAAACCTTTTCCCCATTTATTAATTGTATTGATGTGTGTAAGTGACAGACAGCACGTTGCAATAACTGATTAAACTCACAACATTAATAAAACAAATTTCGTAACCAGTTTAGTCGTTGTGATGTTTGCAGTCACATCAACCTAGTTACTACTAATATAACGAATAAGAGTCAGTCCGAACAGCCAGGTCTTAATTGATCAGAGAATGAGCGACCTACATACTAACTTGATCCAATCGCTTAAGATAATTTATCTCGTTTATTTTGTGTTTAGAATTAATGTATAATCCTTTCCTCTTATTACGTAAGAAAACCTATTTTTCTGTCTAGTTTTTTTTTGTCTTGGATGTTAAATCATTTTATAGCTTACGTCAATTATCCGGTCTTTTTGTGACCATCACTGAAACACACTGTATTATTGCACACCTTCTGTCAATCGACACTCGTTTCATTTGTTTTTACAGTCAAAACTTTTTCATAAAAGTGTAGTTCATAACTACCTACCATTGGCGAGTATTCTACCTCTAATTTTCGTATCACTTATTTTTGGTTACTCCATACACGATCAATTATTTAGAGGGACCTAAGGGAAAATACGAGTAATCTATGCATGTCTGCCATCAAATGCAATCTTTAACGGCCAGAGATCGTTTTCGAGTAAACTGTCACTTAATATGCTCTCTTTTCTTACTAAATAAACGGATATCTTACTTACGCTATAGACAGTGCGATCTAATAAGGTCACATTAGTGTTTTTTTACCCATGCAAAGAATTTACCAGCTTCCAATTCAACAAAGTTAATGCAGGTGTCGAGATAATAGAAAGTGATCAACGCGTTCAACTAATTAATCCTTTCTGATGAAACTAGACACTAACTTAAGGTAATTCTAAAGCAACATTTCGTACCTTGAGTTGAAGAAATTCATACCAAAACTTCTTGCACCGTGACCTAGAGCCATTCAAGGAACTGGTATTTCTTCCAATGTTATTTACTTAATCCGTATTGATGGAAGATCCTGTCAATAGAGCAGTTCTTAACAGTATGATTAAGAAACAGTAAAATATATCCTAATAAAATTGAACGGGATTGATGGAGTGGGAAATCTTAACCGACATCTCATAATACATCTATTTTAAGCAGTTCGGTCAGTGAAAAGCCTTCATCAGACTGATGCAGTTTTTTGATACACACTGTTCAATAATAGACAGAAATACAAAACTTCCAATCAGAAGTTGCATGTCGTTTCCACTTCGAAAAAATGCGGCTTTAGTCGATAAAATTGTTAAATACCCAATGAAGATGGATAAAATATACCTATGAACTGATCGTAATTGAGAAGGCAATGTTTCAGTTTTCCATTTGCACGACATATGAAATTATAGTTTAGTGTTAGGGCTACTAAACTCAAAAATGTTACGTATTATGAATGTACGAGTATAACCATCCTTTTTCAATATAGAATAACTCCAGTATCCGGTATTTTCTAGCATTCTTTTCCCACTCTGATAGTATGTTGTTGTTACATAGAAAAATGTAATTTTCACTGAGGACTTCATTTTAATCATCTAAATCTGTTCTGTAAGAACATATCACAGTTGCACATTCCAACTAATTATATTGAAATACAAGTACGATGTAATTCAGAGTTTGAAATGAGATCTTCAAAGAAAACTTTACTTTTAAATACAGCAATCGATCACTAAATGAACGAAAAAAACAGCTATATATCTCACACATATATTGAACATTTTAAGAAGTATCAATATAGGGTTGAGGAGATTATTTAGTTTTTGGTTGAGATCATGAACTGATTGATGTTAGAAAACGGTTGAGTTCTACAATAGGACAAAAGGGCCGTCCAGTGCTTCCAGGTTTCCAATGGTGGTCTAACATCAATCAGCTCATGATCTCAATCGAAAACTTAATAATCTCCACAACCCTATGCTGATAATTACCATGTTCTCACTAGTGACTAACTTCGTGAAGGAATTCTCAGAGTTCTAATAAGAAGCCGTGATCAGTGGAGCTAATCCGTGTCGGGTAGATACAGGTATCTATCTCAGCTCAATCGAGGATGGTCGCGTAATTTCGTGGATTGGTTGAGGTTAGACATCAACACCGTTGGATGCTGGCTCAGTGGTCTAGATGTTAAGCGTTCGCCCACGAGACCGATAGGTCCTGGGTCCGAATCTCGCGAGGCGAGATCGCGGATGCGCACTGCTGAGGAGTCTTACAATAGGACGAAATGGCCGTCCAATGCTTACAGGTTTTCAATGGTGGTCTGGCATTAATCAGTTCATGATCTTGATCAAAGACTTTAAAAAGTAAATACTCTACAAATTCATGGTTACATCATTTCTCCTTTATGAAGAAATTCATCTTAAAATTTCCCAAATTTCAAGTAATTGAAATAAAATTTCATTGGTTAATTATTTAATGAATTTTGTATATTTTCATTATGAATAAAATTAACTCATTGAGATTTTACATTTAAAAATAGTAACTATACAGTTTAATAATAATAATAATAATAATAATAATTATTATTATTATTATTATTATTATTGAATTTGATCAATAAGTGAACTTAAATTTAAGCTGAACTCTTTTAGAGTCTTTATCAGATAGATCACTTTTTGTAAGATGTATGTTTGGAGAAAGTACAGTTTAAGAGAGAGAGAGAGAGAGAATCGATCTGTCGTATTAGGGTTTAAAGTATCATTGGAATAGTCATTATTAATGTAAATCGTATGAATAAAACTGGTGGATTGCCAATTATTTGATGAGTAAATTTGAATGAATTGTATAGAGAATGGAGTTAAACGCTGCTAGAATAAAAGAGTAGTAAAGTCAGATAGTGGTTAGCTGTAGAATTCAGAACACGCGTTTATTCCTGTTTGTGAGTCGTCAGCCGCTTGTATCCACCTCTCATTACTGAGATTCGGAGCCAGAAATTTCCACCCCAAACTCCTGATAGATTATCTGTTAGGATATTGAGTCCAGATGGCCATTAGCTTTTGAATGAATTTTATTTGTAAAAAGAATGTATATCTTCCAGTTTCAGTGTGATCATCCAAGTGACGAGTCTAGAGTAGGACGAAACATGGGTTCTTGATTCCAATGCTAGCTACCATCTAACTTTAATGAAGAAATGACCATAAATCAGCATTGAGATAATCCTTTCAGAATGCTAATATGCCAATAAAAAGCTGGTCAATTACAGTCCTTAACATTAATAAGAAAGAAAATACAAATCCCTATACAATATTTCACGTTATTTTATGGATTGCTTAAATATTCTTTAGAACAGAACAAGTGAACAGATAATTTATTATATTTTATTAAAAGTTTTCTAATTTTACAACAACCAAAAACAATAAATCGATCATTCTCAGACTAACTTCGAATAATGAAAATCATTATTACCTTGAATATACTTTAAATGTTAGGCATTAAATTTGTGAACATGTTCAAGTTGTGTTTACAAATTTCATTGATTGAAATTAGCATGAAATAACTTGGTAAGATTTCATTTTAAACAACTTTCAATTCGATTGAAATGTTCAGAATATGTTAAGTGGTTGGAAGTAGTCGATAGGGGACTCTAAACTCTGGTTTCGTGCTGGTTGTCATTCGTTATCAAGTTTAACGTGTAGTCTTGGAGAAACTGACATCCTCTGGGAGATTTGATTTCGTATCATTCATCTTCATAGTCTGATGTGTTACTACTGAGTAGTAGTAGCCGATCTTATTTTTGTCTAACTTTTTTCAGTGTTGATCGATTTCTATCGATCAAGTTACAGTGTGGTCGCTAGTTTAAGTGACAAAATACGTGCACTACGCTGAGAGTTTAGGTTATCGGAAACAGTTGATAAGGAACCCTGAGATTAAGTTTCGTAACATTGGGAACTGACCAGCAAGGCTTAGCTGCAGTTTTGAAGGAGTTAATGCTCTCTGTCAGATTGAGACCAGCATCACCTATCTTCATATTTTGAAGTATTACCTATGAGACGTGGTTAGAATACTTTCATTTGCTCTTCAATACTAAGTGATTAGAGATAATCGGTTCAGAATTACTGGATTCATGCATCATCTCAACCGGTATTCATCACCTAAAATCTCAGGGCAAAAAATTACTTTCTGCAAAATTTCGAACTTATGTCACCCAGTATTACATTCAAAGATGTTATAATCATTCAGAAAAAAATATATGTGCCTTCTTTCTGAGTAGCTCATAGTCTTTGTGGTCATTTTCTAATTAAACTCAAAATATCGTACTTAATAACTCACATTGTTCTAGGTTCTTGATTTTTATTTTAAAATTATCTAAAAATATTTGCATCATTAAGTTGTAACTAAACTCTACCTGAAGCCCTTCTATGTTTGTTGCCAGTCGCAAGCTCGGGTAAACGAGGAAGGTTGAGGATGGTGTTAGCAACTCCATCCCGTTGAAAACAACCTAGCTAAAAATCGCTAACCAGAAAAAATCATCTTGACTATTTTATCTCAGCTCTGGAAGTTAAAGCATCTTCATATAGGAGCAACAATTAACATAGGTGTATGGAGTGTCCTCACATTGAGTAGATTGGAGAATCTTGGTTGGTGGCCTATGCTTGACGAGAAGCAACAGGCGTAATAAACAAGTAAATAAGTTGTAGCTTACGATTACCACCATTAGAAAAGAATGAAGATACGATACAGTAATACAGTCGTGTCTATGCGTATGATTTATAGGCAACTGGCGTGCTGTATAATCTAAATATGAAAAGTTTTTTTTTTCAAAACAAAAAAACAAGGTTGTTTAAACAATGTACACTCTGATCACAACATTGTTAAATGATTAATGTGTTTTGTTAAATCTTTTCGAGTGATTTTTGTTTCTTTCTTACAAACCTATCTACATATAATAATATGTTAGTGTGAAAATTTTGTGAAGATTGATTAATTCACAATTCACGTCAGTGAATTAATTATATATAAACAACTATCAGAAGCCAGGAAATATTATACGACAGTCTCGTTTAAGTATGTGAATCCTCGTTGCATAATATCCTGAATCGATTGAAATACGAACTTTGTATATTAATCAATTTAGTAATGTAGAAGTTAGGCTCTCACTGCTAGAACTGATATAATCCTGAGTTTGAGCGGTATCGAGGTTGTAAGTGCACAAACCTGAAAAGTCTTACACGAGTATGAAACAAAGATTTCATACTGTCTAGTATTAAACGGTATATACATATAGTAATCATGTGTTTTTCAGAATCACATTTATTGTTCCATTCGATAATGTACATTTGGCGTAGATTTGTGTTGTAATAACGATATTTATGAATGAAATATTTTTCAATACATGTCTTGATATTGTACATAATCTTACACAGATACAATTTTTGTATTAGTATGGATTTATTGTTGTATTCAGGACTGCTATTAATCCAATGTCTTTTGCCATATAAATATCTTAGACGGATTCTTTTTAAATAGTTACATCACAAGTTTAAGTGATATTTGGTATATGACAAGCAGTTTAATATAAAAATTACATTTCATCCTAATTGTAATTCTTCATTAGTTGAATTTATCTCCATCTCAATACTGATGTTCTCACTAATACTCAAACCTAATACTATACACTTAAAACCCTCTAACTCTGTTATCCACTAAGCTACTGCGTTCGGATAGTACAAGTTAATGGCTACATGCACATATAACCCTCTCCAGTCACATCTCTCTCTCTCTCTCTCTCTCTCTCTCTCTATATATATATATATATATATATATATATATATATATATATATATATGCTTATTCTCATCAGTTGATATTACCCTTCTTTGTTTAAAGTTTGTTATTGGTCACTTGGTCATTCTTTCACGTATGACCAATAGTTCAATAAAATTTATCTAATTTACAAATGATAAAATTCTTAAATAAATTGAAAATAGTTCTCTCTCTTTCTCTCTCTACATTTTTTTGATTGTAAAAAGAAAGATCAAACAAAACATAAATGAACCTGATTATAAAACTCGGTTTTAATACATACACTAGCGCGCACGCATGCGCACACACACATTTTTCGTCGTTTAACTGTTTTGCTATAAATTTAATGATTATCGTTGTATTCTTCAAATGTTGTTAATCTACACTGTCAATCATATGAATATCTCACTATCGAATCATTTTTATTGGTTTTTTTGTTCTTCTTTGCAGTTTTCTTTTTTATTATTGAAACTTTTTTTCTTTTATAAATTTATTCATATGAGAATTCGATTGTTTCTAGGTTGATAAATTATGTCAAAAATATAATTTTTCTTTAAGTTAATTTGTATCTCTGACCTGTTGTTTTTTGCATTTATGATAGTTGCTTAATTTTTTCTCAATTGACATTAAGTTATTTGAATAGTTTTATTATTAATATAGAATAGATAGAATGTGACTAGTAGGCGAATCCAATACTCAAATTTCGTTCTATTCGGGACTCATCAACTAGACGTAATTGTATCCCGGAGTTGATTTTTGCATCGATGCTCGAATCCAGCAACCTTTCAATTCAGACACTTCTATGCGTTATCCACTTCGTTACTGAATCCAGATAACCACTATCTTATGCAACGTGTATTAATTCTTATTTAATTTCTAATTGCTTGGATAATCTCGTTGTTAATTTATTGACTGAAATTTGATCAGTCTTACTGTGCGGATTGCTTCGATAAAACCATCATCACACAATACATTCTGCAATAATTGACATTAACAACGGGGAGATTCAAGCAACTGTTACAAATGAATTGAAATTCACCTCCATTGCACAAAGTAGTGACTATCTGGACTGTAGTTAGGTGTATAACGCGTTTGTGCGTTCAAAGCGAATGATACTGCGTTTGATTACAGTAGTGAATGTCAACATTGGGATGAAGTAGGAACATTCAGTTAACAAGTCCCAAATAAGATAACACACGCGTCTTGGATTCGCCTATTAGCTACATTTCATCTACTCTATGTTAACTTTTATCGTGGTGGCTATAGTGAGGTAATCCGCAGAGGATCCACATGTAATAACGGAAACTAATCAGATTTGAGTAAAATATCGACGGCGGAATAATTCAAAACATTAAAAACTAAGTTAATTCTATTATTGTTGTCACTATTGAACGAACTCTATATCTTTCTACGTAAACGGCACATACTCAATGTCTGGTATAATATTTTGTTTTTTTTGTATAAGACTTATTGTCGTTGTTATAATCGTTGATGCCACTCCCTACTGAGACGGTACTTTGAACTGAACTACGACAGTTTTCGTAATCACGACTACTGAAAAACACAACTTTCGCAAAGAAAAATTTAGCTAGGAACATTCTAGGTTAGATAGTCTTAGTTATTAAGTGGACGTCTAAAATATTATGATTTTAAACTGTCTTCTAAGGTTTTATCGTATTAAAGATATTTGTTGAAGTGTTATGTATGTCAGTGATCATGCTGTCGAATTCTCAGCTAGTCCGTATTTGTTTTAAAAGAACTTCAATCTCTGGTAATTAAAAATTACCATAGGATCCCATCAAATCTGAATTCAATTAAATCTTGAAACGACAGATTAACTGGAGGGGGACCCTAAGAGAATTGAATTGCACTCGAATTCATTCAGTTATATAACAATTAAATTCAGTGATTATTAGTTACATAAATTTATCGATCTGAATAATTGTCATTTAAATGTAAAATCACTAAGAGTTAATTACATATGGACATTATACTGAACCAATGTTAAATTAAAAAAGTCATGATAAATTAATGAATACGAATTATTGTTATGTTTACGGAAATCTACAATAAATTGGCTTAAAGTTAAATGGATAGAAATCATATTGATTTTATAGTTGAATTCAGGAGTCAATTGAAGCTAGATCACTATGGAAAATCTGGAAGCACTGGATGACCGTTTCGTCCTTCTGTGGAACTCCTCAGCAGTGCACATCCACGATCTCGCCTCGCGGGATTCGAACACAGGACTTATCAGTCTGGACAACTGAACCGGCATCCAACGTTGTTAATGTCCAACGTCAACCAATCCACGAAGTTGCACCAACGTCCACCATTATTAGTAATGAGTTACTATCTCACAACAGACCTGGTTGAACTCCACTGGTCACGGCTTCTGATAGATCATGGGTTCGAATCTCACGAGGCGAGATCGTGGATGTGCACTGCTGAGGAGTTCCATACTAAGACGAAACGATCATCAAGTGCTTCTAGGTTTTCCATGGTGGTCTAGCTTTAATTGACTCATGAATTCAACTATTAAATTACTATTGTATCTACAAAACCCCTCTCCTATTGAAATGATATTGAATTAATAGGAAAGCATCAACTGAATAGGAAGTCTCATTTAAAAATCAGTACGCCATCTTATATTTTTATCCCATCCTAATAATAGTCATCATTACTAAACACTTTAGTCTTCACAATGAACATTTATCTCTATTATTGTATTGTATGTTACAGTACTATCGAATTAAAAAAATACATGAAAACCAGGATACTTTTGATTAGTTAAAATATCCAGTTGTGAGTGAACTAGTTACATAGCAAAATGTATGAACTAGTCTCGATTTTACGTCAGTTGTTATTGAATTTACTCATATCTGTTGTATAGTATATAACAATTACGACTCATAGCTTACGGTTCTATAAATGATATTCGTTAAAAGAAAATTATTCTCAATAAAACGACAACTTACATGTTAATTTATTAAAGACAGTAGACGGAAAACTCTAGACCTATGTTCTGTGCTAACTGGCATACATCACCACGGCATACTTGTAATCTAGAGGGAACTGATTCTTCCTGTGAGATTCGAACCCAACTTCAGAGTTTGAAACTATTCGTGATACGAAGAACTCAGTTGTAACTCATCTGATGGTAAAAAGGAGTGAAAAGGATTCGAATCGTATAGGGTGCATGAATCCCCTCAAGATTACAGATATGTCTTAATGAAAAGCTGAAATTAACATGAAACCTGGGTTCAGTATTTCCTATGGACTACGTTCAATCATTTAACATCAAAATACAGAACTCGTGAAAGTGTATCTTCTCGACTAGTGACCCGTTGACGGAATTTAATCAACATTTCGTGCTAGGAACACATGACATCAGTCACTACTCAATGACCAATCAGCAGTAATCACGCCTATGTACATATGGTGAAATATAGTATACTGTCGAGTTTAAGCGATTCTAAAACATCCCTGAAGTGTTTATGGCACTTATTAGTCACTAAAGAATAAAGATACTAAAATATAGAATCTTTGGCTTTACACTTAATGAAAATTTAATATACATGGCGGTTTTAAGCAGCTGAACTTCTGAGCCCAGATAACCATTAGCGTGTGTAACGAGGATAAATTTCAATTCATTTGTAAGGGTTATGTTGAATCTTACCGTTGTGTGATATTAGGGACTCCAAAGTATATTGAGAATTATTTAGAAGTCTATTTTCTTATTCTTTGTTAAATATTCTTACAGCTTGTATCCGCATTCGCTGTATCTAGTATGTCATCGAATGCTGGTCGTATTGGTAAACCATTCAATCCATTGTTAGGTGAAACTTACGAGTTACACTACAGGAATTTTGTATTCGTTGCAGAACAAGTATGTTTTAACCTTGATTGATTGGATAAGTTTTTTGTTACTTTGGTGTTATTTTCTTTTGACGTTTATTATAAAATTTAATAGGTCTGGTACTTGAATGCTTGAAATTAAATTTCTAACTATCTCCTAGTCTCCCATGCCATCCACCTCAAAAATTTCCTACAATTTAGCCCTAAACGGTTAGCAAAAAATAAGAAGTATAAAAAGTGGTTTTACTTTTAAGATTGGTCTAAGTACAGAACACAATAATACCTATAGGTATATGTGTGACGATGATATTCGGTAAACTTCGGGAAACTTGCTGTAATTGGTAGCAAAATCAATGAGCAACAAGTTACGCATCAGATTTTTAGAACAAACTGATATGATTCTCATAAACTAACTATGAAGCTCACTTCTACGTGAAGTAAGCGGTGATGATGTTATGCATAATCATAACGAAAGCTACGTCACTAAACTATCTGCATTTGAAGAGACGGTTGCTGAAATCTTAAATAAACTGATTTCGAAATCGTTGAATAAAACGTTCTACGCAGCTAAGCTCCAAATTGTTTTCTCAAGCCCGCCTACCATTCTAGGATGTGTTAAGGATAAACTTCCGCTTTGGGCCACATCAATGTGTATCTATAAATTTACTTGTTGATGTGGGTCACGTTACATAGACCTCACAAAGCGATCACTTTCTAAACGCATCTCAGAACACTATCCGACTTGGCTTTTAAAAGAAGAATGTAAAACAATTACTAGTTCTACACAAGAACATTTAATCAAGTGTAGACACATCTCTCCAAAGGAGTCTTTTAAAATAATCTTCACAGTCAAGGGAATTGGATCGAAGGGAAGTCGAATCATTAATTTATGCACTGCTGAGGCATTGGTAATCCACGAACTCAAGCCTGAACTTTGCATGCGGAAACAATTCGTCCGACTTCTCATCCTTCCTTGGCCCTAATTCGTTTAATGGATATGTTTCGGGTTTTGTTTCTTTCTTTATTGTATACTTTTATTTGATTATTATTGAATTAGTATCCAAAAGGATTTTGTGGAAATTGTAGTAATTTCAATAGTTGACATCATGAGTCAATTGAAGCTAGACCATGGAAAATCTGGAAGCACTGAACGGCCGTTTCGTCCCATCGCGGGACTCCTCAGCGGTGCGCATCCACGATCCCGCCTCGTGAGATTCGAACCCAGGACTTATCAGTCTCGCGCACGCACGTCTAACCACTAGATCACTGAGCCGGTATCTAATGTTGTTAATGTTTAACTTCAACTAATCCACGAAATTGAGCGACACACCCATCATTGTCTTTAGTGAATTACTATCTCACAACAGACCCGGTTGAACTCCACTGGTCACGGTTTCTCACTAGAACTCCAGGAAATACCCGTTGAAGCCAGCCAATGGTGAGCATAAGTTGATTATTGTCAGAAGGGGTTTTGTGGAGATTGGATTTTTCAAATTATTGTTTTGCTATTTTAAACTCTAATCAGTTATTATTATTACCTTTTACAAGTTTGCTTGATTATTATTCAGTTTATTATTATGCCCTTTATGTTTGTCATTTTTTCTTCATAACTGTCAATCAGACTATTATCTGACCCATAAATTATTTTCTTCCTTACCCCTTTATTAGTACATAACCTCATTTGTTATTTATTCTCGAATCTGTTTTTGTGATGCAGTCTTTTGTTTCCTCCTATAGATCTATATTTTCCATATAACTATATGTACGTATGTACAGCCTAAGTAAATAATTTCGTTAAAAAGAAAATTTTTTTCGCTGAATTCTCTTTTTCTTAATTCATGATAGATTCATATGAAAAAAATTTATGCTTAGTGAATAGTTAATTGATCAAAATAAAGAGTGCGCCTACCATTGTGTATATAACGTCACTAGTCTCAAACCAACAGAAGACAGTTATGCAAAGTTCTCTAATTTCAAATAAGGTTATAATGATTATAATAATTGCCTTACCCATCATCGTTTGTTTGATTACAATGAAGAATCCTCATCAAAAAGTATTGCGATATTGCAGAAAATTTCATTTGTCATTACGTAATGGAAATCGTCTCTCGTGTCCTTCTCATTACTGTTTTATTTTCAAAGGACTATTAACAAAGAAAATATATCAACCATTATAATAGAGTTATTCTTAACTATTTCAGCATTGAGTTTGTAAAGTTCCTTTTTTTGTTAGAGCACGTGAAGACACCATACATTTATTATAGATAAATAATCCGTTAAAACAAATTGGAAAATGTACTGTAATGTTTGCACAGTTTAATAAAAATGTTATTTAGTCCAAGGGTTTAAGTAGGCCACCACAAAGTATTGTTCTATGCTTGATATCAATTCACAGACTACTTACATCATGATTAAATGAATACTTCATTATTAGTCTTGTTTATTTATTGATTGATTTACCCATATAAAAACAAAAAATAGCCGGACAGCTGTTTTTCCCAGTATGGAGCTTCACAATGGTGTGCATCCACAAACTCACTGGGTATCGAACCCATGACCCGCAGGTCTCATGGTGAGTACTTAAGCTTTAGACCATTGAGTCAGTATCTAATGGTTTGCATATTTAACCTTAGTTAACTCGCAATATTGCGCAACCTCTTTAAAATGTTATTGGTGGATAACTGCTTCACAGCTGACATGGTTGAACTTCACTAGTCAGAGCCACTCACTAGAATTCTGTTTGTTTGTTTTTGTGAGACATAAAGTTCATGGGTTCGATCCCTAATGAAGCTGTGGATGAGCGCTACTGAGGAGTCCCATACTAAGAAGAAACAATTATCTATTAGTTCCTGGTTTTCAATGATTCTCTGTTAGGTCCCAATAAGCATAATGAATGGTAACTTTTCGGATCCATTTATGGACCAATACTATACGTATATTTTAATCGTATATTTGTTATGTAACTAAACTATTCATATCCGTGTCCCACTTATTATGAGCTTTGTTTTGACCTGTGAACTATTACTATACGATTTACCATTCTTGAATTATTTTCTGTCTATTAATTACTACCTCCCTCATTCATAGCCACATTTGGCTAATTCTTGTACAAATGTTGTTTCATATTTTATGGTACGGTGTGGTCTGTCTGGTTGGTATATAAACCCAGTATGTTTGAAATAAATTATTCATATTGCAGAGGCTGAGATTGATGTTCTGAAATTAACTGGCTGGGCTAGGCGGAAAGCAGGACCAATCAGGAATCTAGACTGCTCGTACGGGTTTTACGCGTCATTCACTGCTCTCTAATTAGCGGTATCATTACGTTATACATTAGCAGGGCACAAAGGCCACAAGTTATAACATTCTCTAACTAAAATCAGCCAGCAGTGTAAACTATAAAATCAGACTATCACTACAAATTCTCTTTTACTAAACATTCACTCATCGTTTTCTTGTTATTATCTACATCCATGTTCCTCTTCATTCACCTGTCAAGGTATCTCATCATCCACCAATCACAGCTTTTCATGTTGAATCAGATAATTATAGTCTACGTGCTACTCTACAATTTAAATTACGTTTTTGGGGTAAATCAATTGACGTTCAACCGAAAGGATTAGTTACATTACAATTATATCATTTTAATGAATCATATACATGGCAAAATGTCAATTTAACAATACATAATATATTGACTGGTAAAATTTGGGTGGAACATGTAAGTCTACTCGTTGTTGTGATCAATTTATTGCTTATATGTGTGTAAAGTAATTTCTATTTAACACAGTCCTGTTAATTTTATGATATAATATCAGTAACTATGATACTCATTGCGTCAAGAATGAAAGTAAGATAAACATATGTCATCACTTTAAATGTGAAACAACTAATTACTGATTGTTAAATATGCCAACATTCAACCAATAGGTCCCAGGTTCGAGTTACGTCTTGCCTAATTTTGTTTAGGTAACCAGAGATAATGACTGCTGCTAACTTCCCCCCTCCCCCATTACGTCTATCTGTTGCGTAATTACCAATTTAATTGAATATTAACGAATTTTGATTTTTATCAATATTTCATAAAAACTGAGTTATGAATTGTAATTGTTCAAAGAGTGAACTCGATTAACATCTTATTTTAATTTACTCTCAGTTCTCATGTGATGATTAAACAGTTGATTGAATTTATTACTTTTTATTCATCACATTTCTGTTTATTCAAATTTACATGTCACTTAGCTGAATAGTTAACTAGCGTTGAATGAAAAAAAAAAGATTCAGGTCGAAAATCATGTCGTCATATGCGCCGACTCAGAGTTCGCAGCGAGATCTGATGGTTTTTGGTTTAATCTCCTATAAAGTCGTGGATAGATACAACTGAGACGTATCACCCCTATGATGAAATAGTTATCTAGTGGTTTCGTGATTTAAATATAAGATTAAACAATCTCCACAAACCCACTATATTAATGTATTGCTTTATTTTATGATAAACAGTAGTTCACTTAACTGTTAACTAATCCCAGTGATATGTATAACCATTATTTACTTCTGATTAAATTGACCAATCATTAATACACTAAATCTTGCTAAAAACTGTACCACTCAGAAAATCGGAGATTGGTGATTTTGCGTAATTCAATTCATTTCAATACTCCAACACCTATATTAAATAGATTGTAAATTAATTACGAAAAATTTCCACAAGTCAGCAGCCCGTGTGATATACTAAGCAGAAGCTTACCAGTGATTATTGGACTGAGTTAAAAACTGTGAACCATTAAATTTCAACCCATAAGAATTGAATGTTCTTGGAACTCTTTCGTCTAATGTGGGTCGACACTATTGAGGAGCCTTAAACTAAGACGAAATAACTACCCAATCGTATTTTATTCTCTACAGTTCTCCATCTACTGACATTCTAACTGCGTAATAAATATACTTCATCAGTGTTTATTAGAAAAGTTTCCGACTAATTATGACATATATTACGTCTTGATACATTTAGTACACTGAAATTTTAAGATATCAACTTGTTAGATTAACTAATGATTACTTGAATCCCTGATAAATGCACAAGTCTAAATGTATGAAAGAAGCTTTGCTTCCAGCGTTAGTCAAAGCTCAAGTAAAAACAACATTTGTAGAATTGTAGATGACCTTAATATTAAAGATATGACAAAAGATACTAGGATTAAGACTACATATTTGTTAACTGTACGATCAGATTTAAGAAGAGTATAATGAGTTGTTTTTTAAAGTTTATAGAGAAACACTGATTTGAAAGCTAGTTTAGACACTTTTTCATGGCTTCTGGAGAATTTTTCAGACAATCAGAGATTGTTACCATGCATGTTGTACAGTTCGTCTTCTCTTAGTACCTTAAAAAATGATTATCAATACTACTATTGGTAGTTTGTGGAGGTTTTTGGGTTTCATAATTTACACCACGAACTGATCCTAAGTAGTTAAGTATTTTAAAGCTATTCAGGCATTGTTAGACACTCAGGAGAGCTCATCTACTATCCCAACGGGGACACAGCCGAAGATTCTTACATGTCGCGGCGAGTGATTAACCTTTAAACAATTGAGTAGCTGGCATCCAATGGTTTGTACTTCAAACTTCAATCAATTCGTGATATCGCACAGGCATCGTACAATGTCATTTGTGGATAACTACCTCATAACTGACATAGTTGAACGTCACTGATCAAGACTTCTCACAAGAATTCCGGGAATTACCTCACGAAATTAGTCATTAGTGAACACATAATTGTTCGACATTTGATAAAGTCATGGTTTCTCACTGCAGAGGAGTCTTACATTAGAACGAAACAACCTTCTAGTGTTTCCAGGTATTTAATGATTGTCTAACAAAAACTAATTTATGAAAAATTATTATTTTTCATAACTACCATTATGATCTTGTTTTATTTTGTTCCACTCTTCTGACTTTTTTTTTCTCTCGAATACTTACAGACTGGCACATTACGTATCACAAATCATTCGTTAGGATTATATTGTCAGTTAGAATTTCATTCATCTAATTCGTTTGGACATGGTTGTAATCGTGTTACCGGTGAATTATATGCTCCATCAACATTAGATAAAATGAAGGCAGTTTCAACCTCATATACATCACATAATACTACTGTTAATACTACTATTAATATTCTCAGTAAAAATATATTTGATCATCATAGTAATTCATATGTATTAAAACGTATAATTTTTGGTAATTGGTCTCGTGGTCTATTCACCGTCGAACCGAATGTTTGGAATGAAAAGAAGGAAATCATTGATGTAAGTGATAATGTTTACATTTTTTTCTTTCAAAAAACAAACCAACATTTCTGTTTGTTATAATTGTGAAATTATCAAATTTTCTTACAAATTCCATATTCTTATTCAATCTTCTAATCAATTCAAGGCTGGGGAACCTTGCAAAATGTGAAAAAATCTAACCTCAAACTGTATCAGTTAAGAATATTCATTGTTCGCCAAGTCTCTTTTTTAACACAATTATTTCTTTTGCCATTTTCAGTCTAATGGACCAATTTTATTGACAGTAAATGAAAAACCATTAATTCTGTGACAACACAGAATGTCATTTTTTAAGCGTTTGACAAGTTTACTAGCGTATTAAACCGTATCTGATGATTGAATTTCGTAGTTCTGTGTGATATTGTTTATGTGGAATTGTCATATGTAAAGCAGATGATAGTAATCCACTTTCCTTTAAGGTTGTTTGTTCATGATGTTCACTGTTGTCTCGCCTTTGTTTGGAACTTCGTACTAGCACACATAATACAACCCCACAAATGTACTGAACTACAGGATCATTACGTTTCTTGGTGGACAAGATTTTCTGGACTAAGGTTTTACCGATCACTTTTTATGACTTCATATAAATCGCTGTACATTGAATAATTCTCATTCTATCTCTTCAATGAGTTACTTCTCTCATAACTCAGTATACTACTATACAGTTTACAGCTTTCAATTAGATTCGTTTCGGAGATCCATCTTCAAATGCACAAATATTATTTTAAATGGTTTCAGTGAAATTTTTGTATAATCATCAACCTGAGTTGAAATCAGCCAGGGAAAATCATTGTAAATCAATGACCATTGAGGAGCTGTCCCCACAACCCATTCAAATCATAGAAAATCAACAAAAATTGCGAATCTGTAAAAACCTCTGGGTTTCTCTTACCCTTAAAATCCATTCGTGAAGGATTTAAACCATAATATGTGCTGTTCAGTCTTTTTCGCTGGATACTTTACAACTGATCAGTTAAACTAAATTTGTTTGATATGAAGATAATAATAAATATTTATTCAGAGTATAATATAGATCGGCGCTTAAAATTAACCGCGGTGATTTTCAGTCAGCCCTTAACCAATCAAAAAACATATCTTGTAAGTGAAGAGTTTTTGAAAAAAATTAATAATATTACAAAGTATAAACAGGTTTTGCATATTTAATATGTCTATTAAAGTTATTTACATGTTGTTATTGTCTGTAAACTGTAAAAAATACAATACTTAGGTTAAGTATAGGGTACTAAGTAGAGGTGGAAATTTGATTGATGAAGTAATGAATCTTCATCAGCCCAAACACCGCCTGCCTAGATGAGCGATGTTGTCTTTTGTAGGAATAGATTAAAAGGAACATAGGGGTGACAAAACTAAAACACGGCATCAGTCTATGAAGTCATTGTTGGATTGATCCACGTAAGTAGTTTCAAGCTAACTAATTGGAGTCCGTGAGATATCCGTGGTTAGTAGTCGGAAACGTTGAGTGACATGGTTCGGAATAGTCCGTAGAGGCGTAAATCCATTCATTCTTTATGTTCTCATAGTTCCTGAAACCCAGAATCTTCTTATACCTTTTTTAGTACAAGTGATCTTTTATACTACTATTGATATTGTCATTCCTCCTACTACTCTGAGATTTGTTTTCATAATTTTATCTCACTATGTTAATGTGGCATGGAAACTTGAGTCGACACATATGTGTTAAATTCTACATTGCATATGACGGAACTGACTAAAATCGCTAAAACGATGACAATTAAATTCCCTCATAGTAATTTTTATGATGCGTCTCCCCAACCCTTAAAAGGACACAAGTAGATTTTTAAAAGTTCTCGCAGTGTTTTCGGTTAGCTTTAGGATTAGAGTTTTCATTGCGAACCAACATGAAGTGTAGTAAAATAAAAAGCTTTTTAGTCGTATAAATGAAAAACTTTCAATTTCAAAATCCATGTAACACTTTGAAATCAGTTCGTTGATAAAATATAACGCCGATAGATTAAAATTTGTTTCAGGATTTCAAGTTCAAGGAATAGGATCAATTTGTCAACATTCTGATCAATGCATAAATTTATTTCTATCTCTTATTATACATTCACGATTCTAATTAACTTGTCTCTACTATACTTTTATCTCTGTGAGAATTTTATACTTTGCTCCACTCTATAATTTTCTCATTTAAAACAAAAAAAAGACATTACGATTTTTATTTATTTATTTAAGTAAAAAGGGGTTGATTAGTTTAACGTCAGCATGGTCAAAATTAAATAATAACTGAGACTATTAAAACAATAACATTTAATCATATAGATTTGTTGAATAAGTGTAACTAAGTAAATTCTATTGTTTGTTTTTGTTGATTTTATCATTGATTTTCTCAGTTTATTGTATGTGTGTGTGTGTGTGCGTTTGTTCTTTTCAATATCGAAAGTTTCCTTTTTTTTTCTAATTCCTATTGTTTAGAAGGTTTATTATTATTATTATCCCTGGATTTGTTTAAATGTGTAGATTATGAAATAAGTTTTGAAAAAAATTTGTTTATTAAATATTGAAATTTACTATTAAGCTGAATTATAAATATTATTCATCATTTCAAAATCAAATTGGTGTAATATACATTTCATTGTGAAATGATGGAGAAGATTTGTAGCTTAGGTGGATGATTTTGATGGAGTTTCATTCTCTGAGCTGAATGGTTTGGTTGTGGAGCTTTTCATTATTCTTCTGAACGACATCATCATTACAAACTTCACTGTTTTAAACTAAGAAAACTTTATCAAGAAGTAGAGCTTCCTATAGTTCCTTAATATAGATCATAAACATGATTGTAAAATGATTTAGTTAAATGAATATAACACCTTTAAAATTGTCATCTTAAGCTATAAATATGCTTCACTATATCATTAACTCTATCTTATAGCATATAGTTATGACATTCAATAATGAATCATTTAGATTTCATGTTCAAATTACGTTTTCTCTAATTCTGTTTGGATAGACGATATAGTATCGTTGAGTACTAGTCTAATCTGTCTCTAACTAGGGTTATATGGCTTGTATCGATACAAAGAGAATAGAATGTTTTGTTATTTCTGGAATTTTCTAAGATTATGGAATTTGAAGTTTTACCACAAGGAATAAAACCCAGGATTTTAATTCTTCACCAAAGTCAGTTTGAGGTGTACAATTACAAATTTACTAATCTCCACAATAATACTGTGTAATAACAATACTTATAATCATGTTCTGAATAATTTCGAAGGGTAATCTCTGGAGTTCTGATGAGCAGTAGTGACCAGTGAAGTTAAATCATATTAAATGTGTGACAACAAATGTAATCAGTCGCACTAGATGATAGTTGAACAGTAATGAGAATTGGGTGAAGCTAAAAATGTAAACAACTTGTTACCTACTGAGTGGTTCGAAGTTTTATAGCTAGTAGTGAAACTTGAATGCCATGGCTTTTATCCACATGAAGGGTTTGTGGATAGGCACTAGCGGTAAGGATCTTCATTCAGCGATTTCTAGTTCTCAATGATTGTATTATCAAAGACAGTTCATGATGTAAAACTTCAAATAGAATATTTATTAAAAATTATTCTCCATAAACTATTTAGTTCACACATACTTCTGAGTATTCAACCTAAGATGAGTTGAATTGAGCTTTCAAGTTGCTTAGCCAGTGTGAAAACATTGTAAATTTCAATCTTTTTATGTAATTCAATAAAGTAGTTGACAATTTCATGTTATCTGCTTCAAAACAATTATTTCGTGTAAAATTAAATAATATCATCCAGTTTCTCGAACCGAATCAGATTGTTCAACGTTTTAGTCACATTAATCCATCGACAAATTCATTTGGTATAACTCATTCAATATTCGAAAGTATTCAGCCAGAAACGATCATTTTAAGTGTTCTTTCATAAGAGAATTTGAAAAAAATATTTTAATTTACTACTTCGTGAATGCGCACTACTGAGGAGTTCTTTACCAGAATGAAACGGCCATCCAGTGCTTTCAGGTTTTTAAAATGGTCTATCTTAGTCGACTCGTGATTTCAACTCTAATATTCTTATTAGTTGACAGTGTTGCATAAGAGGTCAGAATGTAAATGTTACCTTAATGATGTGTTGGATATGACCACTAAAGTAGAAAAAAACATGACTATTTTGTTTGCAAAGTTACGGTTCCTTGTTTTGTCGGCAGTTGAAAATAAAGATATATTGATCGATTTGAACAAATTGAAAATTAGTGTGTGAATTACTACACAATGACCACATTTAATATCGAATTCAAAGATTGGAATCCTTCCAATCACCTTACTCATAACATTGGTATAATTAAAAGCGGAAACCGACTATGATCAGTATACCTTGATTTTTAACACTAGATGAACTGATAGATGAAGAAATACACATACATTTTTTGAGAAGGGCGGTAAAGTTTATTTACCATATACTTTATTAAACAAGGATCCTAATAAGAAACTAAGAAATTAACTTGATGGCACTTATAACAATAAAAGAATATTCATATACTTCATTTCTTGTATGTTATAATAAAAGATTACGTTGATTGATTACTGAGTAGTAATAATAGTGACCAGTGTCATGTCTATTATCTAGGACTAGTTCTAATCCTACATAGAGAACCAATTCACTCAAGATTGCATGTACGCTTCACTAATGAGTACTAACTAACATGAAACCTAGATCCAGGGTCTTCAGTAGGCCATCTCCAATGCCCTGGTGCGGCCGAGAGTAGGGAGAGTCCGCTCACTCTCTCAAAAAGCTCTCACATGGCCACGCGTATATAGCCTCTGCCAGGGAAGTCCTACTCACTGCCTTCTCGTAGAGGGGATGTTGTTTACGAAATTGAGAGGACGAAGAGCGAATGTCCGGTGCTTTAACCGGGTTGGTGGACACAGAGAGTCCACTTAGGGAGTTGGAAAACCCTCATTCCAAATCAATGGGGAATATGGGCTCCACTATCCTGAAGAAACAAATGACATATGAACCTATTGCTGGTCACCGGCTATCATGGGACTGCATCTTCTGACGTTGTTCCACTGCCTTGTGGATCAGACCTTCAGGTCGAAGGCTCCGTGTGTGGTCCCCTAAGAAAACCACCTGTTTCGGTTTGGACACCCGGGCAGTATCACAACCCTCGCACAAATCAAATGAGATTTGTGTGGTGCATATGTATTTGGTGCCTCCTTGTACCAGCATATATGTGTTCAAATGGATTGTGATTCATCTTTAATACATAGGTAAATAAAACAGACTTCTAAGATATGCAGATTAAATTACGTGTTGATTTTCATACAATCTGTTTCATCTGAAAAAATGGTGTCTTTTAGAATACTTTTTAAACTAACAAGTTGTGTTTTTTTTTTGTAAATTGGTGTAACTAAGTTGATTAATGTTAATTTTGAGCGATACTAAAAATTATCTCATTGTCTTTTATACTACTGAAATAGCCAATGAATAAATCATTTATAAGATGTAAAATATTTCGCTAAGAAAATGAGTAGAAATGGTGACCTGTTTTTACATTTATATACGAACTTACTTGCTTACTTACATTTGTCACCCCTCATGGGGCATAGGCCTCTGACCAGGGATCTTTAAATAACTCTGTCCTGGGCTCTCCTTTCCAGTTGTTCCTGATGGATATTCATTTTTTCGATGTCCGATTGTCGGAGCAATGTGCTCTTTGTACTGCTTCTTTTCCCTTAGTATTGAAGATTCCGAGCTATAGTTTGCCTCGTGATGCAGTTTGGTGATTCCCGTAAATTGTGACCTATCCATCTTTGGCGTTTTTTCTTAATTCCCTTTACAGCTTGAAGTTCGTTTATTCTCTGCCACAGTAGGTTGTTGCTGATGGTATCCGATCAACGGACATTGAGTATCTTGCGTAGATAGCTGTTCATAAATGCCTGTACTTTTTTGACAATGGTTGTAGTCATTCTTCATGTTTCAACTCAATGCAAACAGAATGCCTATTATTCAATAAATCACTAATCAGTTAATTTATTTAGAATAAAAGAAATAAGAAACAGGAATCATTAATTTTCAATCTGCATTAACAGTATACACTCATCACGTATTTGATTTCAATCAGTCTGGCACAATTCTCATTGACATAAGTTGTTATATCATATTAGCACAAAAATGATAACTACACATAATAAGCATTGGGAATATACTTCAAAATAACAGAATGACTAGGCATGTACGAAGGGGTATTGCCATTTGAGATCCAGAGGATGATAAATGGTGAATCCATCTCCACCATTGTAACGGATAGGAGCATATAGTTTTTCTTACCCCAATTATAACTGATATAAAAGTTTGGTGCGGACAAATCTTTTTTGTGTAATATGATAATAACTGCTAATATTACAGTTTTAGGATTATCTTGTTACTGATATTCTTGACTGATTTCAATTAATGTATGAACGTCCTATGCGAACCGCCTCAATATAACTGTTTGGTCATAAATTTTATGAAAGAACTAGATTTAATCGAGTTTTAGTTTGAACATCAACACTTCAAACCAAGGAAATCCAACTGACTAAACTCTCTTACTGGATCACAATCCTAGCCATAACCCATCTACTTTGTAAAAACTGTCAATATCACATAATTTTCGCTTAGACTGCTAAAATTTGTTGATTATAATTGACTCAGCTACATAGCAGTATAGTTTCACCTCTAAACTTATTTATAAATCTAATGAAAATATGATTTCGAAGAGAATTCAACGAAGAGAATTTTCTTTTCAACGAAATCATTTACTTAAGCTGTATATTCATATTTATAGTTATACGATAAATACATAAGTCTATAAAAAGATAGGAAGGATTACATCATCAGCTGATTCAAGACTTCAAGTATCAAATGAGGTTGCATAATAATCAGAGAGTTAGAGAAGGAGAGAAGAATGAAAACAATTTACCGGTTCAAATTGTGAAAGATAATTGTCTGCTTAACTAATATGAGTAAGAATGAATGAAATTAATATTGCCAATGTCTTTAGGTGTTTGAATACTTTCCTTTCCGTTGATTTTTGCACAAATAAAATATACTTATATATTGTGTTATTCGTCTTTCTTCCAAACCAACATTTCGTAAGGTTACAATACTACCGCTCGACTAAATTTAAGTAAATGAAGGATTACTAATAGTGGTTGTTACGTAGAGCAGTTGCTTAATTATTCATTAAAGCATTCGATAGTTTAAAAAAAACAATAGACCACAGGTTCAAACCCCACTCTCCTTCACACCAATTTTATTTTTGATAGATGGGTGTAATCTCACTAGGCCTCATATCAATATGAAAGTATTGTTCAAATGTGACTGCATAAAAACAGTTACTTAACTTTATATTACAATCAACTGGATGCAAACAGACATTGATCCACTATGATAATATCTGTCATAATTGTCGTTTCATACTATAATCAAATTTGACTTCATATATACAATTACCCACGTAATTTATTTTGTAGACATAGTTCCTACTTAAAAATGATGACCACGAATTTACTCTCTCTCTCTCTCCCTCTCTCTCTCTCTCTCTCTCTCTCTATATATATATATATATATATATATATATATATATAGAAGATATGCAAACAATTAATAGACATGATGACGTAATACGAGGGTTACAGTACCTTATACTGTTATTATTTACACTATAATGTCCAGTATAATAATCTTTCTATTTCATCATTGTGTGTATAATAATCAGTCGGTTCTTATTTCATTCTCCTTACTTATCATTTCACACATAAATTGATGTGCTTCCGGTTATTTTTGGAAATAATCACGCACAAAAAAACAGCCAAAGAAAAACAGTAATAACAATGATAATGATGATGCTGATGGACAATCGACCAACAGCTCTGAATGTATTGAATTATTGGATTATGGATTCGAAATACCACTAACTGGGCAACGTTGTTTATGGATTGCTACACCGAAACCAATTAATTCAAAGGACTATTATGATTTTACACAGTACACAATGGGTTTAAATGAATTAACAATCTGTAAATCAACAATAAGTAATGATGATATAACTGAAAGTCGAACAAAATCAAGCGTGATCATGTCAAATTGTACAAATAACCATAGGGAATTTATTCCATGTAAAGAAAATTCAATATTTGAACAGTTTCTTCCACCGACAGATTCCAGATATCGTCCAGATATACGTTTATTTGAAATGGGTCTTATCGGTGAGTATGATTATTATTGATCCCCGCTTTTTATCATTATATATATATATATATATATATATATATATATATATATATATATATATATATATATATATATATATATATATATATATATAGCGCTTTCAATAAACATCTAAAGCGAGCTACACAACAGCGAGTTTCTACCTCTAAATTATCTCACCATATTAGATCGTCCTGTGATCTCTTTTTTTAATTTGAAATACTAAAGGATCATACAGGTGTGGTTAAGAGGCACTAGGACAATCAAACGTGAAACAGACAGCCATTTAAAAAAGCCTAACTTTTCAGAACCTCTTGAAGTATTTTAAACATTGTAAACAAATATAGTACAATTTTCATATTACAAATGACGAGTAATTTGTAGTGGACAATACATTTTTACCAGAAATATATGACGTCAGCTTGTGTATTCATTGAACAGATTACGTTGTATCCTAGATAGGTTTTTAACAAAAATATTCATCTAAATTTATCCCTATTAAGTAATATGATTAAATATTACCAGTATTTTACTGTGATTATTTTTTTTCTTGGTATGAAAATTTAAGTACCCTGTTGAATATGTATCCTATTACTAAGGATGAAAAACTTGTCTGCTGCCCTTTCATTTTCAATAATTGTCTCCAGTTAACGTTACTACTTAATAATGTTATAATTAAATTCAAATTGAACGATCTAAAAACCTGCCTCCTTGTGTTTATAAAAAAGAAAACTTTTGTTTTTCAATTCAATTCGTAATGCCTTGAATCAACTCGTTGATATTCTTGACTGAATTTTGATCAGTCTTAATTAGCATATTTGTATTCTGTACGGACGACCTCGATAAAGCCATTATATCTCAAGTTTTTGATAGAGTAAATATAATCTGGCTAGTAGTGGGACCCGAGACATACGTTTTGTTCCATTTGGGACTTGTTAGCTGGATGCAGCTCCTTCCTGCATTTAAGGAGTGGTTATCCAGACTCAATAGCTAAAGGGATTATGTGTAGGGGGTGTTTGAATGGAAATGTACTTGGTCCAAATCCTAGAGTGTACATTAACTCTATGACCCAAATATATCCACGCAACAGGTTTCAAGTACGCTAAAACGCGCATCCTGGATTCCCCTGCTGGCTACATTCCATCTGTTGTATATACTGTTCTTGATTGAAATTTTTCAAGCCTAGGTCTGAAATGGGTTATTGTATTGATTACCTATAATTCACCATATTCATTAACCATCTGATTTCAGGTATTGTTTAGAGGTAGTCGACAGGAAACCTTGAACCTAGGTTTCGTACTGTTTGACACTACTTGTCAGCAAGGTGTACCTGTAGTCTTGAAGGACCTGATATTCCCTGGTGGATTCGAGCTCGTGTTAGTCCGTCTCGCAGTCATAGTTGTTACTGCTGAGCTATTCAAACAGTAACTGACCTCTACTAGAATCGAGGTGTATTTCGAGTGACCACTGAGTCGTATATTGAGCAATTCCTTCTTATAACTAATCAAATTCTATCCTTCGATTTTCAATGCGGCCATTAGTCTAAGTGAATATCACACTCAAGATTTTTAAATCCTATCCAGATAACTATTTAAGATCACTGGTGAACATTTAGCTCATCTTCAATGTTATTGACACTACTGGTTATGAATCCGGAATAGAAATTTGTGAATTCATTTCCAATCAAGTCTTTAATGATAATGTCATTGAACATGACACCCATGTAAAAGTATGTGATCTCTATTATTAATGTTGCCTAGACTGAACAAATTATTTGTTTACCGAACTCTGTTAACAGTCATATCAACTGGATATGTGGTTATTCGACTCATCCGTAGTTAACTAGAAGTCATGGAAACCAGGAATATCTTAGGCTAATACACTTTCATTTTCTGTATTTAGGCTCTTGGGGTTCCACCATCAGTACAAACTATAAAACGGCTAAAGATTTACCGGCTAAAGTTATATATGGCACTCCTCGGTATTACACATCCACAGCTCCAGAATATTCAGATCTCATGATGAGCACTTAACCTTTACATCACTGAGCACAGCGTCCCATTGTTTACATGTGTAACTTCAATCGATTCGCGATACTCCACCATCATTAGCCGTTGTTGATGTTTGTCTCACTCCCCAAATGGTTGAAGTCTACTGATCACTGGGGCTCACTTGAACTCCGAGAATTGTAGTGATCGTTATATTTCATAGTTTGTATTACGAACTGACCTTATTTAGGTTAAAAACTCATCACAAAATCTAAAGGTTTGTAGTTCGATTCCCAGTGTGGTCATGGACGCACAATTTTCAGGGATCTTATACTAGGACGAAGCACCCACCTCGTGTTTCCTGTTTCTCAGTGGCCGCAGTGTGAAGTTAAGCTTAAATGATTCATAGAATGACGACGTGATTTTGAAGCCACATTTTAATTATTAATCGGTGAGTCTGTATAAATCTAAAGTAATTCCTGATAGGTGAAATTAAAAACTGTTACAGTTTAAGGGTTTTAAGAAGTGCATTGCTTTTTACCATTTCTTCCCATCTTAATTTTGTAGAAATGTCTCTGTATAACAACGCTCGCTCGAGTGTGAATATATTTATCTGTCTGACAGTCACAAAAATAGCTCTGTAAAAAGTTCACCATCTCTTAAGAAATCTGCATCAAATTCTCTGAAGGCTTAGTAAGGTGAAACCGTGCGAGAAACATATCTGTCACCTTATCTATATGAAGACATCCTATGTAAAAACTGTTGTCTGTTTTAATATTCTTACTTCACTAGCTCACTTATTATCCTATGAATCATTAGTAAAATGATTTCTCTCTGAGTTTTACTGCAAATAAAGTGAATTTTTAGCAAAATCTAATTGATTCATGTGTTATGTAAAATCTCTCCGTGAAAAAGCAAGCAATTGATACATTCAATGTCAAAAAGAATTTTTCCTAGCACTTTTAAACAATCTGAGCACTATCAAAAAAAGTTACTCATTTTTGATGCTTATTTAAAAACCTAAGAATTATTTTCTTGAGTTTGATTGGCTCGATCCCATACTATGCCCCGAATGGCTTGGTATGGCCAAGGGGGGGGGAATTCACTCTTCCTCTCGAAATGCCTTCTCATGGACACGTGTATACAGCAATTGCCAGGGAATTCCTACTCATTACCTTCTCACACCAAGGGTGTTGTTTACGAAATTGGGAAGATGAAAAGCGAATATCTGGCTCTTTAACCAGGATGGTGGATATGGAGGATCCACCTAGGGGAGTTGGAAAACCCTCATTCCAAAACAATGGTGCACATGGGCTCCAGTATCCTAAAAGGATAAAAAGCGTTTGAAGCTATTGTTGGTCACCGGTTACCATGAGACTGTATCTCCTAAAGTTGTTTCATTGCCTTATGGATTAAACATTTAGGTCAAAGTCTTGGAAAGTGACCTTCTAATAAAACCACCTGGTTCAGTTTGGGCACCTGGACAGTATTGCAGCCTTCACACAAATTAGATGACGAAGTAGAACACATATATATTTGATGTCTCATTGCATCAATATTTATGTGTTTAAATAAATTAATAAAATAAATACACTATATTTGTCTGATCATTCCCTTTAAATTCCATTGGTTCTTATATATATATATATATATATATATATATATATATTACTTTTTTTCTTTTAGACAAAGCAGCTGTTGAAAAATTACGTTTAGAAGAGAAACAACGTTATAAGCGTAAATCATTAAATGGTCAACGAAAAATCTCTAATTTTAATTGGCCAATATCAACTAATCATAAGTCGACTGGTAAAGAGTTAAATCCTACTTCTACAGATATGAATAACGCTACAGTGAATAATACAGCTAAACAATTTTTTACAAATAATCCATTTAAAAAAGCATTTTCATCGAATTCAACTGGGCATCGTTCTATATTAACTGATGACAATGTTAAGAATTCGTATAATTCTTGCACTACCACTACTATTACTACATCGGATATAAGTAGTAATCAAATTATTAGTCCATTATGGTTTATTCCATCAGTGAATCCATTTACTAAACAAGAAGAATGGAGAATGACCGGTGATTATTGGAAAAGAGATTGGAGTAAATGTCCAGATTTATATTAAAATTTTAAGTTATTTCAATTCTTACAACATGGTTATGATGTATATACATATATATATATATTTCATACATGAAGAGTGTAAACGTGATAATTTCTATTCTCTGCTTATTTATATCGAAATCTCTATTGTGGACATGACTTTTATTAAAAAATTCATAAACGCTTCATTATACAATATTGATCAATGTAATAATATTATTAATGTTAATTGCTTCTTTGATTTTGCTATGGAGTATAAAAATATTTAGGTTTATCATTTCTCATTTCTTTACACTTACATAACATTCTATTCATTATTGAATGACAAATTTTTCTATCCTTCAATCCTTTACCTTTCTTATGTGCAAAATATTTAGTAAATCATGCTTTGGAATTCTTTCATTCTATTATTTACAAGTTAAATTACCCTCTCTTGCACGAACCCATATGCACGCACGCACGCACGCACGCATGCAAATGTTCACTTTTTTTTCTGTTTCAATGTACTTTTTACAAATGAAATCATGTGCATTTCAACTATTTTGTTTCTGATATTTTTATGATTGTTTTCTTATTTACAAATTTATTCATTTTTCTTTTCATCTAGATAAGATCTTATTATTTCGTTGATAGTATCCAGGGAAAAATTTATTTTTTCTCCTAAGAAATAAAAACATATTCATTTTAATGAAGAGCAAATAATTTCCAACTTGTTTAAATGTATGTTTATGCTTCTTAAACAAAGTTTTGCTGATGTTTTGCTCATTATTGTTATTTTTGATTATTTTCAAATTATGCTGCTTAATTATTGAAAGGAAAAAAGAAAGTGTAATATGAAATTGTTTAGTTGAACTTTTTCGTGTTTCATCTAAATAAGTAACATATGTTACATCTACGACTTGCTTATCATATCATCAATGTTATTTTAATAGTTGAGATTATGAGTCAATTGAAGCTAGACCACCATAGAAAACCTGTAAGCACTAGACGGCCATTTCGTTCTATTGTGGGACTCCTCAGCAGTGCGCATCCATGATTCCGTTTGCGCGATTCTAACCAAGGACCTATCAATCTCAGGTGCGAACGCTTAACTACTAGATCACTGAGCCAACCGGCATCCAACAGTGTTAATATCTGACTTCAACTAATCCACGAAATCGAGCGACACATCTACTAATGTCGTCAGTGAGTTACTATCCCACAACAAACCCGGTTGAACTCCACTGATAAACCACTTCTGCTGAGGAGTCCCACAATAGTACGAAACGGCCGTCTAGTGCATCCATGTTTTCCGTGGTGGTCTAGCTTCAGTGGATTAATGATTTCAACTATTGATATTATCAATGTATTTACAAAGAACAAAAATCAACCAATCACATCATGTCAAGGTGTAAAAGAGTATTTGTAACCAATCAAATCATTTGTATAACTATGACCTTGTAGGTCGACCAATCAGAGCGTTGGTTATATATTCAATAAGAATATGAGGACAAAGTCAAAATAACTGAGGTGAATATCCATCCAGTTCTTAATTAATCATGAAATAACCTCTATAAGTGAATAATGTATGAAAAAGTTAAGAATAGTTTTACATATATATTTGATTTGCTTACATTTTCTACTGTTTTGTCTGTAAATGGAAAACATCTACACAGAAATATATCCTTTTTGGAGAGAGATCATCAGCTTTTTTAAAATCTTATAAGGATTAAAATTGATTTTGAAGAATCTCCATAGTATTCTTGATTAAGATTAAAGGTTTCATTAAAAATTAACACTAGCTACAATACAAAAGTGTATGAATGAATTTCATATAAAAATGCAAGAAGCACTAGCAGATTAATTCTTATATGAAATATAACGACACCAGATGAATGCTTGTTTCACATTCACAGGTTTAGGGTAGGATTTAAAGATGTCGACTTGTCAGAAACAAAATTGAACATTTGTTACCATAGTATTATCCTTTTAGTTCTATGGTGACAAGAAGTGATATTTTTCTATCACTTTAAACGTTTTGAACATCCAACAACAGTATTTCTACTGCTCGTAGTAAATAATATTTGGATTTCGCTTTAAATTCTAGAAGTCTCATTCTTGATTCTGACTGGTTCGTTCCTAAGGCTTACTTTAACCACCATAGGGATGAAGTTAAAACAAGTATGATAAATGCTTAGCCAGTTCTTTGTCAATTAGAAAGAAGCCTTTGTCAGTGAATGACATATGGGAAAGAAAACAATAACATTACAAAGTGTAAATAGATCTTACCTAATTGATAGATCTATTGAAGTTTCCTACTATTTATTCTGTCTGTAAATTGCGAAAACAACGACATATGGATTCGCCTGAACGGATATAAATTATCTGTCTTCTCAAACCTTTATAAGATTGAAAGTAAACTTTTAGCAGTCAACATACTATTCTTGATTATGATTAAAGTTTTAGAGAAAAGATTGAAGATCTAAGGTTATGTTCGACTGGATACAAATGAAGTGTATGTATTTAAAATCTGAATTACTGGAGGGTAAACAAGGTGTGTAACTATGGTATTTGTGTAGGTTGATATTTGTTTTTTATATATTCGAGCACGTAATTCCAACTTCCATATACCACACATTCGAGTGAATTCACTTTGCTCTTTATCTTCAGTTCTCGTTCAATCGTGACATTTAGAATACATACTGGTTAGCTCTGGAAATTAATAGTTTGTATATTATGTGATTAAGAAAGCAAATATATAATTTAGTGATGAATTTAATTTCCCAGTCAGTTTACTGATTTACAAACTATATACACACACATGAAGTTACTGAATAACTGCTAGCTCAATTCATTCAAACTTGTTGATTGACCAAACATTTAAGATGATATATAATTTATTATGTTTGTTGTAGATATAATCTAATTAGGGATTGGTGAACAAATCAGTTTTCGAATAAGAAAAAGAGAATTCAGCGAAGAAAATTTCCTTTTCGACGAAATCATTTACTTAAGCTGTACATTCGTATATATAGTTATATGGAAAATATATGTCTATTAGAGGATGGAAAGGATTGTATCACATAATTAATTAATTGTGGACACATAGCTCCAAAGGACTCTTCATTTAAAGTAGTCTACAGAGTCAAAGGAACTGGATCGAAGGGGGTTCGAATCATTAATTTATGCACTGCTGAGGCATTGGCAATCCACAAACTCAAGCCTGAACTTTGCGTGCAGAAACGGTTTGTTCAACCTCTCATTCTTCCTAGGCCCTAATTCTCTTAACGAGTATATTTCTGTGGTTGTTTTTTTTGTTATTTTTCTGTACTTTGATCCAATTATTATCGATATTTTAAAATTACTATATTACATTTTAAACTCTAATCAGTTATTATTATTATTGTTATTACTTTATAGAAGTTTTCTTGATTATTATTCAGTTTATTATTATGCCCTTTATGTTTGTCATTTTTTCTTCATAACTGTCAATCGGACTATTAGCTGACCCATAAATTATTTTCGTCCTTACCCCTTGATTAGTACGCAACCTCATTTGTTATTTATTCTCGAATCTGTTTTTGTGATGCAGTCTTTTGTTTCCTTCTATAGACCTATATTTTCCATATAACTATATGTACGTATGTACAGCCTAAGTAAATAATTTCGTTAAAAAGAAAATTTTCTTCGCTGAATTCTCTTTTTCTTATTCAACGACACTATGGGTTATTTTAATTATAAATCAGTTTTCAATTACAGTCTTATTGTCTTCGTTGCATCGACAAAACAGATTCCTTTAGTTGCTGTAAATAACAGATAGCAATTATTCCCTAATTGTAGTCAGTAGGGTACCAGTAGCAATGATCAGTAATTAGTTTAAGTCATTACTTTGATAAATCAGTTTTGTTACAGGTCATTACGTAAACTCCCAACGTTTTGAAATACCAGAAATACCTGCCCCCAAATGCCCTGGTACGGCCGAGAGTCGGAAGAGTCCGCTCTCCCTCTCGAAACGCTCTCACATGGCCACGCGTATACAGCCTCTGCCAGGGAAGTCCTACTCACTGTCTTCTCGTGACGGGGGTGTTGTTTACGAAAATGAGAGGACGAAAAGCGAATTTCCGGCACTTTAACCGGACAAGTGGCGTATGAACCAATCATTGGTCACCGGCTATCATGGGACTGCATCTCCTTACGATGCTTCACTGCCTTGTGGATCAAACCTTTAGGTCAAAGGCTCGGGGTGTGGTCCCTTAAGAAAACCACCTGCTTCGGTTTGGGAACCCGGGTAGTATCAAAGTCCTCACACATATCAATTAATATCTGTGTGGCGCATATGTATTTGGTGCCTCCTTGTACCAATATCTATGTTGAAAAGAGCAAGAACAAACATTCTAGCAGAATAGCATGAATTCATTTTTATTTCGTGCTATTCTGCTAGAATGTTTGTTCTTGCTCTTTTCAAAATGATAAAGGGAACTATGTGTATGCAATATCTATGTGTTAAACGAATAATAATAATAATAATAATAATAATAATAATTTGAAATGACTCAATGACTCAAAAATTTAGGAAATATATAGAACTCGTTAATGACAGTATTTGACAATGATGAACAAGCTATAAATCAAAATGGTAAGGCGTTTGTAATTAACAGAATGGGTAGTTTTGAGTCGGACATAAGTTCACTTGAAAATTATTGACTGTTCTTTTGATCCACTAAAATAAATCTTTAAGATAAACATTAAAAGTTATAGCATAGCTATTTAGCAGCTTCAGTTAAAATGAACTCACTGAAGTTGAGAAGTTTTTCTCATAAAATAGACAGAAATGAAACTTGATTAAATGTTTTGTGATTATTTATTATCTACAAAACAACTCAGACATCCAACAGCAACATACAGCCTGGGTCAAGCTTCCTTATCTGATTAGTACAGAAAGATGAAAGTAACAAAAGAGATCTAAATTATGTAGCAGCAATCAGAAAAAAAACTAATTTCGGGAACACGATTTAAAAAGACAGGGAAAGGGTTTGTATGAAATGAAACTGGGAGTCAACGTCAAAAGGAAAATAAAGAGTAGATACATCTGCATCATTGTGAATGATTTCAAGACAATGTCACCTTACTTCTCAAACTACGGATGGTGGTTATCATACAGATCCCAACCATTCAATCTGCATCTACCTACATAGTTCAAACAAACAGTTAATGGTTTCATAGACTAATATCGTAACCCAGTCCTGGTTGAATAGTTTTTCACAATAACTGTGATTTCATGATATATTTTGTTAGTTAGTCAATAATGGTATATTATGGGATCAGTTTGAGGATTGGTTCTATGAACAACTAATCAATTTTTACACATTGTTCGTTATAGAAGTTTTCCATATTATCAATGTCTATTATAACACTTTTCTTGAAACTTCCAACCTTTTTCATAAAACATCATCCCTCATTCAATGGCCATTCCAAACAGTTGAATATAAACTGTAGGACAAAAACTGTAGAGAAATTAGAAAATCTTATGATGTACACAAATAAAGAGGGAATATTATTTCATAAGCGTCAAATAGACGTGATACTGAATATTTCTGTCTTTTTGTTTATTTTCACAACTTACTTTATCTGAATGTGGTTTGTTTTTTCCCCTGAATTTATGGTTACTACTTCACCTTATTATCAATAATATAATTAATTTACAAAAAAAAACTCTTACGATTATTTACAATATTCATTCAGATACTTGCAGAGCTCACTTGAATCCAACTAATCTACATTGTGACATATTTGCATTTAGGATTCCTGATAACTGTTTATCATTATCTTCTCTTTCAGTTGCTTAAATAGTTTTGAAGGCCAGAAACTATAATTTATGGATGAATTAATTAGACATAAAATAACCAGTTTTGAACTTTGGCATAAAATTTATTCATCTATTTGGCTAAATAGCGTTTTGACATTTTAGCTGATGTTAGCTCGTGATGA